TGGATAGTCGAGTGAATGCGGTCATTGCGGCCAAAGGATGGTACACCAGATTCTGAATATCGACTACCTATTTAGGAAATTAGCCTAGCCTCAATCTCTGGATGTTTCTGAACATTTTGAGCTATTCTTTATTAGAATCCATCAAGTTGGTAACTTACTATAGTAATTTGTATGGATATGGTCCAAAATGTTGGTGGGGTGTGAAGGTGGGGTTGTCCGGATACTTTTGCACTAGTACTGTAGGACCGGAGGACCTTCGGGCCGTGCCCCTCTTGTTCCCCGGGAGTCCAGATCGTCTTAACTAGAGTCGGGGGTTGGTGACACAGATCTCCAAGCATGCATATACGAAGCAGTGTCACACGATCTGGCACCTAGACCCAAGGTCCTTACTCCGTATGTCCTCCCTACTAGTAAGTAACCACGGACCTCGAATTTCTTCCTAACTTAGTCAACTGTAAGCAAATCACACGATATACGGGAGCTGCTAGAAAAATACTACGGGCCAAATTCAGTCAATCTGTTGGAATTTTCACCAATCGTAATACATAGGATGTGGTTGGTAAGTACTGCTCAACGATTCATTCGTTACGAAATTGTACTTTTGTTCTCTTCTTTGGCATAGTAAATAACATCGGAACTCATATTCTGGCTGCTTCATGAAACAACAAGGAGTATGTTTGCAATTCTGTAAGCCAATGTCAGCATGACTACTAACTAAGAGACGGTTTTATATCGTACCATAAGCGAGCATGAGTCGTCTCTTCAGTCGTAAACTCGTTCGGCGTTGTGGTCACTATTGTATTTACAAAGTGTTTTTTTCCCTTCAGAAAATACAGCATCATCTTGTGCAAAAGCAACGCAACGCCGCAGAGCACTGGTTCCTGATTGTGTACAGGATTGGGGGCAACGACAGACGGATAGCCAGGGCAGAGGACGGTAAACATTCCAGAAGCACGGATTATCCCCAGTTCTACCTGTGTCTATTAGGAATGCTAAGAATAGTTATACAAGTGACTGTGCCCCTTCGAGGTGAATGGAATCGCATCGACCTGTTCCTTTTGGCGTAGTGGTCTGGCGGAGGGGTTGGAGCACTTTGACAATGCCTCATCCCAGCCAGGATCAATCTCACCGTTCAATAGCTGCAACATGCTCCCGAAAGCCTCGCTCCGCAGAGTTGGTATCATGTCACTTCAATCGATACCTCTGCTATACGACTTTTGAAACCAGTAAAATGGCACTGAGGGATAGGATCCTGCAGCTCAGTGCCGATCATAAGGCTGCGGTTGGCTGGAAGTGTCGGATCATAATCGATCCAGTCATCGTAGTTGGCTAACGGAACGTTTGCTGTCCTTTGACCTGACCCTAGCCGAGCGCGATACCAACCGCCTTCAATGCCGCCCTCGCTTGACCTCTGGGTTGACCCTCCCTTGATCTTTCGGAAAAGTGGAGTCATCAAAGGCAAAGAGACTCCGACAATTCCAACCATTGGTTCCACTACAGTCCAAATTCCAGGCACCACTCCATCATCTATAAAAAATTTCATTAGCCCATGCCAACGTTACACTTGAAGCAGACTTACATGAAAAATCATATTTGTTGACACCGCGGACGGTAGTGACCCTAAGTATACTTGCAAGAATGACAATTCCACCAAGCACGATGGTGATGGAGAGGCCAAGTTTCTTGCTCATTGGAAGCTGGAGCCTCCATATGATTGGCATTGGCATGACCACGATTATGCAATCGGTGACTATGTTTATTATAGCGGTGCTGATACTCAAACTTCTGAAGTCGATACAGTGGCCGGGTTGGCTCTTGTTCCAGACGAAGCTGATAGGTGTACACTGGAAGGTAACACCGAATGTTACAGTAAAGATCCAGCAGGTGACGAACCCGGCTACACACCAGACGGCGACCCTAAAGTAAAAGTAAGGATAGAAAGCTCGGTGATAAAATATGAGAATGGAATATTTTATCGACACGATAGTGAGGCCGTAGAGCAGCTGAAAGGCGAAGGCGCACTGTAATCGTAAGTATAATCTTTGAACTTCTCTGAGAAAACATACCTTGGCCACAACCACTATATTTACCTTTGGAGATATTGAGTGCAGCCCAAGGCCGTTTGCCCCCGCTAGTATCTTAAGCGCATGTACCTTCTAAGTTGAGAGGACGAACGTACCAATAGTGTTACATATAGCCTGTCCTGTCCCAGCCAGCTGAAGAACCATCAGATCTCATTTCACACTTGGCAGTTGCCCGTCTTACCAAACCCAGCACAACAAAGCCGTCCTCGGGTTTTATGGTACTTCGCACCATTCTCTGCGCATAGAAGCGTAGAAAAGTAGCTGTGACAGCCCAACACCACAGGATCCAGGTGACTGCGTAAACGACTGGACGTAGGTCATCGCTGATATGTTCTTGCTGATACCGAAATGAAGCAATCTGCTCTGGAGACATGCCCATGACGTTGGCGGCCATGATGAAGAATCAAGAGACACCTTGGAAAATGGTGTCGACCGCAGATATGAGCGGTCTATGAAGACAAAAGAAGGGCCGCTCGATATTTATCAAGCACTCACAGTCATAACCAGACCCAGAGCACTGTCTTCCTCCCCTCGATCGGCAACTGGTCCGTCAACACCCATCTTGCCAAGATATTGGGAATGGTAGAGATGTGATGCGAGCACTGACGCGCCGAGAGCCAACTGTTGTAATGTGCAGTTATAACCGTCTTTTGGTTTGGGGCCCTGGCAAGCGAGTGGCTACATGCTAGCGCGTCGGTGTGCGGGTTCTGGGACCGTTCATTGAATATGCCATAGAGCGTATCTAAATTCTCACGTAAGATACGTGGTAGCTCGCATGTACTTGAAAGCCGAGCTGTGGTCTTCCATGTCCTGGGTATTATCGACATCGCCGACGCCTAAGATACCAAGATGACTTACAGACGTTGAAACTCTGATAGTACCAGAGTACCGGGTCGTCCTTAGATCGTTGAGCGTCTTAGCTGGGCACTACCGAACGGGTGTCATCCGGTAGCGGGGATGGCAGAGGACTGATTGACTAGTACTCGCAGTAGTTTTCAATGAATTGAAGTGATCCGAGCCTAACACGCCATGGCTTAAAGGTGGAATATTATGAGATCTGGTGGCAAGGAGAAGGGAAGGCATTGGTTGGATCAAGCGAGGTGGTGAAGATTTGTGTTATTGCTCTCCTTGCAAGGAGACACCGAGGAAACGGCACAACAAGCCTCGATTTTGAAGAAGCCCTATAGGCTTCAGGAGTACCATGGTAGATTGCTGCATTTTCGCGTGTATCTGTTCACTCATGAAGCATCCTACACTGCACGAAACGTCTCCTGTCACCCATCGGATGCTTTCCCCCGTCGAGTATCAACTTCCAGAAGCTCGGGCCTCGAGGTTTCGCCCCCATTGATAAATAATACAAATACACTGAAGAGAGAGAAACATGGAAACTTGGCGGTAGTCCTTGCCGACCCAATCAGAGATAGGGCATTGCATGCAAGTTTTACCTTCCTGAATTGACCGTAAGGATGACCCGAACACGGACGACAAAAAGTTGAGCCAGCGTGGCAGATGGTCACCCATGAATGGGCCTGGGTGGGTGATAGGTTAACTGATCTTGCAAGCGGCGTCGAGTGGGTGAGCGTGGGGGGTGAGGAAGTGAGGTGGTGAGTGACTCTGACTACGGAGGAGTACCGTAGTACTAAGTACGGCCGATTTTCGTCTCCGGCTGCCAAGAACAGCTTGATCGAGTCTTGTCCCTCCCCCGAAAGCCGAGATCTCCTGACTTTAACCTACGCCCAAATCCCTATCAAGAGCGTTTTCTTCAAGATTTCCACTGTCTATAACAACTCTTTTGTCTCCAGCTGCTGGGAGGAGCAGTATGGCGGCTTTGCCAACGACTTACAGTGGTAAGGCACGTAGTCAATTGTGCCTTTGAGATATGCTTAGAAGCCATACACATTGCACGAGACTGACCATCCGCCGCAGGAAACGTACGCATCGGCGTCATTGGCGGCACTGGCCTAGCAGTACTTCCACACTTCACCCAAGTCGCATCCATACCTGTTACCACTCCATGGGGAGTTCCCTCCTCGCCAATCGTGATTCTCGAACATCCTTCCCCTACCACTGGCGAACCCATACCCGTTGCTTTCCTGAGCCGTCATGGTATCCACCATGAAATTGCCCCACATGAGGTCAACTCTCGGGCCAACATTGCAGCTCTCAGATCGGTAGGAGTTCGCAGTATCGTTGCTTTCTCAGCCGTGGGAAGCCTACAGGAGGAGATCAAGCCTCGTGATTTTGTCGTCCCTGACCAGATAATCGACCGAACAAAAGGCATCCGGCCATTCACATTTTTCGAAGGCGGCCTCGTCGGCCACGTCCCTTTTGGCGATCCATTCGATGAAGCGGTAGCTCAGATCGTTCGTATTTGTGGTAAGAGCCTCGAAGGCGACGGCGTTGTCCTGCACGAGCGAGGCACTCTAGTGTGCATGGAAGGTCCACAGTTCAGTACACGCGCGGAGTCGAATCTCTACCGTAGCTGGGGTGGCAGTGTCATCAACATGTCAGCATTGCCTGAAGCAAAGCTAGCTCGAGAAGCAGAAATTGCCTATCAGATGATCTGCATGGCGACCGACTACGATTGCTGGCACGCTACTAACGAGGCTGTTAACGTGGAGATGGTTATGGCACATATGAAAGCCAACTCCCTTAATGCAAGACGCTTCGTGGGCGCCGTGCTTGACGAGCTTAGTAAGGTTGAGCATGAGCATCTTGTAGCTGCCCAACATTTATCTGGGCAGTCGAAGTTGTGCATAAGTACGGCACCTTCCGGCGTCCAACAGCAGGCATTAGAGAGGATGAAGTGGCTGTTTCCAGAAAGCTACACGACGGCATAGGCAAGAAGGAATTTGGCAGTAGACCAGAGAACGATACGAGGTAGCCAAACTGATGGGTGTATTCTGATGTTCAGGACATATCTAGCCAACATTTTACATGGCCGGCAAATCGATCTAACACTCACCATGACATTTCGAAACCACAATTCTCTTAACTTCTTGCTCCGCCTTGTTGTTTATGGTTTTTGGATTTGGCGGCCCTTAGCCTGTACATTGCAAACAGCTCTGGTTCATTTGCTGGAATCGAATTCTTTTCTCCTTGTGAACGGTATTGCAAAGTCTCATCCCTCGATGAACTTATTGTCATGTTGTTCTGGTAGTTTTGTCTTTCAACCAACATACTAAAGCTCCACCACTGAGCAACCATTATCCTTTAGCCCGTTCAACCATCCAAATTAGCATTGCATAGTTGAGGTGGTTAAGAACCATTCTCATCGAGAGCGCTCTCGAGTATCCAATCTGGGGAATATCTCATCGTACATCTTGGCACACAGGCCTAGGTGTCAATCTCTAAAGGTCAGCTCTAACCTCTCGCGGCGTGAGAGAAATTAACACTTTCATTCCCTCGCAGTTGATTGTTCGACCTCATCAGCAGTCCTGGCCCCATCAGTCTCCTCTCTCCGATGTTCAGCGCTGCTGTTCCCGCCGCTAATTCGTTCAGCTTCGAGTTGTGCTAGCCGTCCGCTTCTTATGAGCCATCTTTCGATAACAAGCTGTGACCTAGCATTTTGGTACTGCTCTCTTTGGGTAGACGCATTACCTTCGGCCAAGGGTGTTCTCCTACGCCTGCCCATCGGGGCTGTAGCGCGTCCCACAGTTCTGGATGTCAACCTTGGTGAGTCCACTGTCGTTGGCGTCACCTGCATTGGCTGACGAGATGTTTGCCCTGTGGCGTCGATGATAGTTCGTCTGTCTTCTGTGGTGCCCAAGCTCTGCGTCGGTGGATGGGCTACCAGCAGATTGATCTGGTTTGGCTGCTGAGATGTTGCGCTTGTGGTATCGAGTATTAGTCGGATAATGCTTGCAAGTGTGGTGGCAACTTGACGTGGATCTTGTACGGAGGTTGTTGGGAAGGGACCATTATCCGCTGGTCGATATGTTTGCGCGCTTGATGGGAATGCTGTGGTCGTAAGATCACTGCCGTGAGTGACTCTTGAGCTATTCGATCCAGGGCCTATGTCGGGTTCTGGATGCGACCAGGAGCTGGCATATTCTCCGACATCAAAATCGCTATCTTCTGGATCATATAAGAATGGCATGACGAACAAGAGTCTTCCAGCTGTAAGACGCCGATACACTTCAATGTTTTACGAATGGAACGAATAGCACCCAGTTGAAGTAGGTATTGTTTGAAAACGGACTGATGGTAAGGGTGGTGATGGTTTATGATGAACTGGTAAGCAAAGTACTATGGCATTTTATCTAATGACTGATGCTGACACACGGTTCACAAGTGAAAGGCTCTTCACCACTAACTGGCATGGCTATGCAAACTGGACCCATTCTACTAAGAGAGAACCCATGCACAAGAATCACCCAGCTCACGGTGAGTTCTTTTGCATTAACCGAAATTGAAAGTTTGCACCTATCAGTCTGTATCTCTACTCAGTTGTCCGTCAGTCGAATTGTTAAAAGCCTTCATGCTACTATGATTGAATCATCATGAGGTAGCCAGCGAACAATCAGCACAAACCCTACAAAAGCCAGTGCATGAAGCTGTAAAATCCACACCCTCCGCAGCATCTCAGGCACAACCAGCTCCAGATACTCCAGCCTTTCAGAGGCGGCCAAACCTGAAAAAGTCCCCATAAATTGAAGCGCCTGAGCTCTCGCCTCCTCCAGGAGCACCAAACTCCGAAGAATGTCTTCCTCCGCCGAACATGCCTCGCAGCCCACTTCCTCTGCCTTCATCCCCAATATCCTCTTCGTTGTTGAAGTGGACATGTCTGCACGGACCACGGCCGATTCCTGAGTTATGCGGCCTTCCGAAAGCGCTTTGGCTTCGAAATTCATTGCCCATATAGCCGTTGGGCCCTCCTTGAAACCCAGTCCTCGATCCTTCCATCCTACCTGCCATCCCAGGTGACGTGGCGCCTGAGAATATTCCTGAAAGTCCACCTGGCATTCCACCCCCCATGCCAACACCGTCTTCGCTGTTCGCTGCACCGGACCACCTGCCAGGCATCCCGCCTCCCATTGTATCACCTCTTTCACCAGGCATCATAGATCCACCCTGACCACCGCCTGTTATGATGGCAATCAATTGAGCTCTTAATGATCTCATGGCTGTAGCCACGTCTCGGCAGCCGACCTGCTGCAACATCATCGCACCACCCTGCGGATCTGTTTCCAGCCTCCTGAGTAAAGCCTGTGCGCCACGTTTGACATCACCCATCTGCATGGGGTCGCAAGCGGCCATGATTCGATTCGCTTGAGTTCCGCCAACGCCACTCATGTTGCTCATTCCGGGCATTTCATCCATGGCAGGCATCCCACTCGTACCTGACATGCCCCGCATGGCTTCGTACTCATCTATCAAGTCTTGATAGGTTGGAACAAGACCTGGCCCTCGACCTCCGCCCATGAATCCACCCATGCCTCCATACCCGCCATGGCCACCATATCGCCCGCCGCCGTACATGCTTGTTCAGTGGGTAGGGAGTATGCGCGAGAAGATGAAGATAGTGATTGTTGATGATGGAGGTGATAAAACTCAGAAGTGTGGCTGCCAGCTAAAGACTTAGATGAGGAAGGGCCTGTGTAGTATGTACCTTTATTTTACAATCATCATATAAGCAGAAGGAGGGTGGAAAGGTCAAGGATTCTGAATGCAATTTATACGATACGACTCGCCTTCATACCTGTGACGGATTCTTAGTAAGTCACTCTAATTATCATACATGGAGCGTTCATGATGTTGCTTTTGGTACGCGTTTCTTCGCCTCTGCCGATCGTCTGAGGCGTTCCTATTCTCTTCACATGGCTGTGAGGGTGAAAATTGTGGCCTTCCATCTGGCATTTCGTTTGAGTCCTGCAAAAGAGGTGAATAAACCTCATGCGGCAATTCTCAAAAGCCATTAGACATGACGTCAAAGGTGCCCAAATGACAGCTGTTTGCCTTGGAAACAAGCGTTTTGAGATACTAGTCCCGCTGTCAATGCACTGACGTTTCGGGTTTAGCCTCATCCGATCAGGGAAGACGCCTCGCTTAGCCCTCCACTCACACCCTGGGCTAAGGCGGCACTTCTTTCCCAACCGGTCAAGTTCTGCAGCACTACGGCAGGGGCCGCCAAGTAATGTTAATCCAGCACTAGTACAGGACAGCTAAGTCCCAAAGAGGATAAATGTAAATCTCTTTCTCTTCAGAAAGGATACATATAAAACAAGCTCCACATCAACCAACTGCAGCACTGTGGCTCGGTAACGAAAACCAGCTGCTACTAGCACTGGACTAGAATTATTCAAGTCCCTCCCAGGCTAGGAGGGCAGTAGGCTGACTCATATGACTAATTTCCAGCTAAATTTACAGTGGCTGGGGATCAATTGGCCTTGAATTCAAGATATATGTCCTGCGGCCACTCTACCAGGCCGACAGACTTGGCATCGATCGGCGATGGCAGGAGTCCTTATAGTCTTTGGGTGGCTGATGAACTTGTGCGGGAGGAAGCTCATATCTAGGGCTGGTGGTCGACAGTCCGCCTCGCGGTACCGAGTCCAACTCGTCTTCTCCCGTCAAGTCTGGGTTCTCTCTTCATTTTGGTTCCGCTAATACTGGTTGCCTAATTCTAGCTCATGCATTCTTGCATCCATCTCTCCCGAAAATGTGGATCTTTCTGATATCCTCCCTCTTTCTCTTCTCCCTCAGAGCTACGCCTACGGAGGCAGAATGTTTTACGCCCAACGGTACGGACCGGAACGATATGCCAGGCGTGTCGGGTGACCCTTATCAACCATGTCCCTCTGACGGAGACGTGGCCATGTGCTGCAGAATCGGAACGGGAGATATCTGCGTCGAGCATGGCCTTTGCTTCAATCCTTCCGGCAACATTTACTGGAGAGAAAGCTGTACCGACCGTACATGGAGCGACCCTGCGTGCGTCAAACTTTTTGTCAATGGGACCGGTTTTAGTGGACCAGACGATACTGATGGTAAGCGAGAGAAATACGTGGAGCACAGACGAACGGTTCCCCTAATTTCTGCATGCAGACGAGGGAAATCAGCTCAACGATGTGAACGTATATCCATGTGAGGACGGGAGCTATTGCTATGGCAACAACAATAGAGCCTGTTGTGCCCAGCAACAAGGTTACTTCATCGTCAACGGTGATCAAACCCGGCAGAATCTAAGTGAAACCACAAGCTCAATATCCTCATCCCCCTCCTCCACCTCCACGGCCACTGGCTCGTCCTCCACCATCATACCCTCTACTAGTGCTGCCCCACCAATCCCAAACTCATCCCCGAACTCACTCTCCAGCGGGGCAAGGGCCGGAATAGGCGTCGGCGTCGCTGTCGGCGCTCTCGTGATCCTCTCAGCCGTCTTCTGGTTCATACGCAGGAGATCGTCCAAGCGGAAGTCGGACCAACCAACAAACCCTGACCACAACGACAAAGATATGACTGAACCAAGAAAGGACACCATAACGAACGGGAGACCGTCCGAGCTCGAATTCACCCCGAAAATACCGGCTGAAATGTACGCTGCGGTGAGGACGTCAACTTCGCCTTCGAAGCCGGCTGGTGAGTTGCCTGCGTGAGTCGAGGCTTTTAAGGGAAAATGAGGTAAAATAGGTCAAGTTGAAGATAGATGGACAGAAACTTTTTTCTAAATCTGCATTTACAAGAGGAATGGGAAGTAGGGGAATAAATTAAGCCTATTCGGACGTGCTAATTTATCACGCCCGCAAAGATTAGGTGGATAATAAATGGTGGTTGGACAGCAATTGCAACATATATACTTCGTACAAATATCATGATATTCGACATGCCCGAGGATCCGCGATGAAGGGGAGGGGACCCTCTCCCCTCTTCTCTCTCCTTCCACTTCCCCTCTGAGTGTTTTTAATCTCTCTAGCAGGGTTCAGCCGCAGTATTTACAGTAAAAGCGACCCCAGCTGCAGGCTCTCGTTCAACTATTCTAATCCCCGAGTCCCAAATTCTTCCTCCTCCCTCTCGTCCGGCCTCTCCTACGGCTTCTGCAGCCCCCCGCGGTTCCCTTCCCTGCCTCCTGCGTCCACATTCCCACCTACGCTGGAACGGAGGAAAGCGCTAGCGAGCTCACACGGAGAGATATGAGTAGGGCAGTTGAGGCTGAGGGAGATTCCTAAATTCCAGTACGGCGCTCTAGAGCGGCGAAAGAAGAAGAGGAACTAATACAGTTGACAAGAGAGGAACTTAGATGTCAAGATAAGAGCAACACGCTATGAGGTAGCTACAGAACGCCTACGGAGTACCTGCGGGGGCATCACCTGCGACGCAGAATTAGAAGTAGCAAGGGAAACAGTGAATGTACAGTAAGTTCCGAAAAATCCCAAAGTCGGGATATGGCCTGTAAGCTGAGATGCCCAAAACCTTTCAAAGTTTTTGGAGAGAATGTGAGACAAAAAAATTGCGGAGGATTGTCTCGCGGCGCACCTATAAAGGCGAGTGAAGGCCAGATCAGAGCTGAGCCAGGCTTATCGTTGCCTCAGTCCGTCAGCCGTGGCTTACGTAGTATGACGCAGCTGATTAGTAATCCCTGTCGCATATATTTTAGTATGAGCGCGAGAACAGCTAGTCTCTGACGCCAAAATAGCGCTGGTCAACTAGTACTTTGGACGCACGCCTCCACACTCTGTATCAATGCATTAATGATCAGAAAGTTGGGAATGAATGGGTAGGCAGGAACTGCGCGGGGATCAAAATTTTGGATGTGACGCCAGCCCAGTAATGGTCTGCCGTACGAACCTCCCGGCTTTCTGCCTTGATATTCTGTGATGACATCCAGGAGAATTTGACCGGGGGGGCCAGCACGACTACTCTTAGGAGAGAACGTTCCGCTGGGTCCTCCCGAGGACCTCATACTAAGACATAGGCCCTTCCTGTCGATGCCTCCATTGAATTCTCCATATGGAAGCCCGTGCCACGCTGACTTGGCAGGCCAGCATGACCATATCTAGAACAGAATTACCCATCAAGCCCTCCAGATAAGCGTCTGTCAATAAAGGGGCCCTTCCTGTCAATTCTTTGGTCATGGAATGTAGGGTAAGTATTGCTGTTGCCCGCACCACAACCAATGCCAGCATGCAGACTTTCATCCGTCACCCCAGCCAAGTAACCGCCTATGCTAGCATCTATACCGCCACAGGCGCTCCTTCCACGCATGTCCACACCAAGCATGCTCCTGCCATGTGCGGCCAGATCATGCGCGAGCTCCGCTGATCCGGCGCCATAGCTTGCTTCACATTTGCTGGAACTCCTCAGGGGTCGCCTTTATCATGGAAAGCAAGGATGGCTCCCACCTCTGTCCGCCGACCGTATGCACTGCCTCGATCGAGCATTGACGTGATCGTACAAAGGCCCACCGTCCCCAGTTGTTCCTTGTCCACCAACCGTTCCACCCATTGGTGGCATCCCACCCAACCCTCCCATCGCCGTGAACGCGCCAGTATCTGTATAACCAAGCGTGCCAGGCCGGGCTCCCGCCGTCATTCTACCGTAAGGAATCCTAGCATGAAGATGGTCTGCATCATGACCACCATCCATAGGATATACCATGCCCAAGCGGCTATCCAGATATCCAGGGATGCCGTTGCCCAGGTGACAAGGACCAGTATCAGGGAACATCATTGGTGCAGAAGAAGTCGATATCGCAACGCTGTGAAACTTCAATGGTGTAACCTATTGAGGCAGGCAGATTGCAGTGCTCAAGGTTTCTGGAAGATAAATGAAAGATAGGGGTTGAATGCAGAAAGATACTGTTACCAACTTTATATAACCCTGCCATTCCTCCTGGTTCACATCACAGTCAAAGGTCAAAGGTGAAAGATGCGCTGATAAGACCATGTGTATGACTGAGTTGACTGATATGTGTACAAAGCTGGCGTGGTACCTCATATATCCGCTTCATCAGCGGCTTGCCCTGCGGTGGCACTGGGTCAAACGGTGTTAGTCTGCGATATGGGCAGAGCAGTCCGGCTGTGAAATGTACACTTGGCCAACAGTGAAAATGCATTTGGACTTTCTATCCGGATTCGATCTTGCGGGGCGACCCCCAGTACTGCAAGAATTGAACATATCGTGGGCATACGGACAAGGAAAGAAAGACGGAAACCGTGGAGATTCCTGAGTACGCAGAGGTACAGACCAACTGGAACATATGACCGACATAGCAAAAGGAAAGAGAACCCCAATCCATCAAGCCATGTCTGAAAGGCATATTTCCAGCTGGAGGAACGAACTACTTGACTTTCCCCGGCTCAAGGTCCAGGAGTATTTCGAAGCCACTATATCACGCTCCTTCGGGTATTTGAGGAGGGGAAGAGGCACAAACGAGAGATGAGTGAGGTCTATTAATGCCTATATCAAGAGCATCAAGCCGATTTCGATGTACGGGAGAAAAGCATACAAATAGAATCGAGGTGGAGAACATTGGGGCTAGAACGAACTTTCTATCTCTCCCCCCCTCTCTTTACTTCTTTCGTCTGAAAGTGATATGAAACATGATGAAAACTATACCACAGGAACTTGAACCATGTCCTTCACGCTGACAAGGACCGGCTAAGCGGCCTCGTGAAAATTCCCAGACCCCGGAGCTGCGATATGGATAGATGAGTGTGGCTGCCGAAGGTCACATGGGCGTATCCGGACGCGCAATGCTGAGGTGTTCTGCAAATCCATACGTGGGCTTTCATGTTGTAGGCACCCGGGAATCAGAATACGTGATTTGATATGAGTGCCTAGGAGACCATGAGGGGCCCTTCATACTGTGATAGGCGAGGGGATTTGGATTTACGTCCATACTTACATATATCATGTGACTGACAATGTCTTCAGAAGGTGTGTGATACGTGTGATTTGATGCAAGTCCGAATCAAAGCATGAATTGGGCTTCCACCATCACTGACTTCCTACTCGGTACACCGAACCATCAACAACATGAAATAAATATCCGTCTCTCGATGATCTGTGTGATTTGACCTGATTCTCTGTATCTAAGCGCACTGGAGCCCTTTAAGACACGTTCAACGCGCTTCATTGGAACAGGTTGCGATGACACCAGCCAACTCTGGATTCGAACAAATTCTATACGCCACAGAAAAATATCAAATCAAAACCACTAGAACTTTCAGCGTATAGGAGGACAACTCCATAATCTCATCTTGTCACTCGTTGCTTTTGCCAGAGATTTCGTTCCCGGCCATTGTTGTTGTCGAGATTGGATGACCGTGTCATCGATTTGTGATGCTTGGGAGGACACCAACGACACCCAGCCCTTCGTCTTTCACCCTTCCATCCTGAAATTGTCTTCATCCTCCTCCTCCGTCCTCTCCCAGTAGAAAGTGATATTCCCGATCTCCTTGCCTATGCTCTCCAGCCACATACCCAAAGCCTCACAACCCTCCTCCTCGTTGACCTTGCTGCGCCCCAAGAACCTTGCCGCATCCTTACAGAACCTCTCCGTCCGGTCCTGCACCTCCGAGACCGCTGCTTCGATCCCCTTCAACGCGCGCGCCATCTCCGCCTTCCGGTTGCGCAGCTCCCGCAATAGCCGCACGCACTGGTCAAGATCGAGGATGCCATCCTCCCAGGAGGAGCAGAGGACGTCCCGCAACAGCTCGGTGGCATCCTCCACGCTCCACAGTTCACGGTAGAGCTTGAGCACCTCGGTCCAGATCTGTTTGCGGAAGAAGAGGTCCAGGTCGTCCGCGAAGAGGTTGGTGACGTGCTGCATCTGCCCCAGACATTCGGAGGGAGTCAGCTGCTCGGTTTGTGAGTCCATGTCTGCGAGGAACTCGAAGTACGCCACTAGGCTGCAGTCGATGCGTTGGAGGTACGTCAAAACTTCATTGACGGTGTGGTCGATGCTGTCGGTGGTGGAGGAGAGGGCCTCGACGCATTCTTCGTAGTCGGCGTACACCAGGCGCCGGTAGTGGGCTTCGGATTGTTCATCGGCGGAGGAGGCGGTTTTGAGGATCCGGAGCGCTCCCAGTTGGTGTTGCAGGGCTTCCATTTCGGCGCTGGTGGGGAAGGGAGCGGAGCGAGTGGTTGTGACTGTGTTGCCTGATAGGAAGGTGGTCATGGTGAGTTGTGGGTTGCCTGATGACATTTTGCTGACAATCGGGTATATTTCTGTGGGTTTGTTGATGGATGGATGGTTGTACGGCGGAGCAGCAGTATTGATGTTTTGTGATGTAAATCCTTCTGCTAAAGGTGTTTTTTTGTGTGATGGTGATGTTGTCTCTTGCAATGCTGGCAGCTGGAGAAGTCTTTGGAAGTGGGAACGGGAAACTGAAAGAGAAAACAAAAAATGACGTGGGCAGAAACATGGTCTTATATAGACAGCTTCACCTGCAGAAGTGTTCTACAGAAGCCAAATCTTCACGTTGTTACCTGTCATTGTACCTGAAAACGTGATGGTATGAATGCCGGCGCAAACCGCGAAGTGTTCAGCCCTCATTGGAAGGAGGCCGGATCTTGAAGGGAGTTGTGACAGCATGTGGCAAGGAATAGTATGAAGCAGCGGGCCATGTAGACCCACATTCACCCGGCTATACCTTGCACATCAGGAAGTGGAAAAGAAACTGTGACCCACGTTACCTTCGGGGCTGTGACTTGAGTGACAGATTAGGAAGGATTTTAATTTAGTCACTTGGTTGGGACAGTTTTGCACAGATTGGGACACTTGGAGCCGCGAACCAAGTCCTTAGAGGAGTTTCGTCTGAGACCCTCTTCAGTGCATGTTCCCACTTACGCCTGTATTGGAACGTAAGGTAAGGAGCAGAAGTCGATTGTTTTCTCTTCTGTGATTTGGGCTTCTTGATAGACTGGGATCATGGCTTGCAGCTTCCGTCGCAGGGCACATATGAAGATTCAGCCCCCAAATTATTGCGGTAAGGTCCTCATCGATAGGATGAAACTTCTGTTGCTGGTCTCCTGTGCAGCCATCCAATGTGTATTGTTGTGGTGATCTTGTGGTTGAGGTGTCTCGAGTAAAATGGTCAAGGTTATACGTAGATCCCATAACTTCGCGGAGAACGATTCGCCAGCCATCTTTATCCTCGACCACAGACAGCATGTTCTCGTTGGAACTGTCTTTGTTGAAACTCGCATATCATACAGCTTTGCTACAATAGATGCCCAGGTTCCCCCATCAGAGCAGGTTGGGTGGAGGAAATCTCAAGACACTCCGCAGTCTTGGCAGGGAAGTCAGCCCAAGCTGCCTTTTGATGCATTTCTCTGTTTTCACTGTGCCATTCAGACACATGACGCATTTGGCCTGCAAGCCTCACCGTCGCCTTTAATCTCTTCGATGCGAAGCCTGACGTACTGGTCATCTGGTAGATACTACGACTCATTGACAGCTCCTGGCCCAGCACCTTTCGAAATACTATCGAAACCTTCCCACCTTCAATTTCTAGACACACGATCTCGGTCACAATCTCACCATGATGGAGTCTTCACGGGGTCCGCCCCGAGTCAAGAACAAGGGAGCTGCTCCTACTCAAATCAGCGCCGAACAACTGCTGCGCGAAGCCGTTGACAGACAAGAACCTGGCTTACAAGCTCCAACGCAGCGGTTTGCAGACCTTGAAGAGCTTCATGAATTCCAGGGGCGGAAGCGCAAGGAGTTTGAGGACTATGTTCGCCGAAACAGAATCAACATGAACCACTGGATGCGGTATGCGCAATGGGAATTAGAGCAGAAAGAATTCCGGAGGGCAAGATCCGTGTTCGAAAGGGCACTGGACGTAGACAGCACAAGCGTAGTGTTATGGATTCGCTACATTGAGGCCGAGATGAAAACCAGGAACATCAACCATGCGCGGAACCTACTAGACCGAGCGGTGACTATTCTACCAAGAATAGACAAGCTGTGGTACAAGTATGTATATATGGAGGAGACCTTAGGGAACATCCCAGGAACCCGGCAGGTCTTCGAACGATGGATGAGTTGGGAACCTGACGAGGCCGCATGGACAGCATATATCAAACTTGAAAAGCGATATGGCGAGTATGATAGAGCAAGGGCAATCTTTGAACGGTTCACTGTCGTGCATCCTGAGCCACGAAATTGGATCAAATGGGCCAAATTCGAAGAAGAAAACGGAACGAGTCAGCTCGTCAGAGACGTCTATGGTGTCGCCATTGAGACGCTGGGGGATGACTTCATGGATGAAAAGTTGTTCATCGCATACGCTAGGTACGAAACGAAGCTGAAGGAGCTTGAGCGTGCCAGAGCAATCTACAAATATGCTCTAGACCGGCTTCCAAGATCCCGGTCCGCGGCATTACACAAGGCATACACTACATTTGAGAAGCAATTTGGCAACCGCGAGGGTGTTGAAGATGTGATCCTAGCCAAGCGAAGGGTACAGTACGAAGAGAAAATCAAGGAAAATCCCAAGCATTATGATATATGGTTCGATTTTGCACGACTGGAGGAGACTGGTGGTGATGTAGATCGAGTGCGAGATGTCTACGAGCGAGCCATTGCTCAGATTCCACCGTCTTTGGAGAAACGACACTGGCGCAGATATATCTACCTATGGATTTTCTACGCTTTGTGGGAAGAAATGGTCAATCGGGATGTGGACCGAGCTCGCCAGGTTTATCAAGAGTGTCTCAAGCTGATACCTCATAAGAAATGGACTTTTGCCAAGATCTGGATAATGAAGGCACAGTTCGAGATACGACAATTGGAGCTTCAAGCTGCACGGAAGACCATGGGACAGGCCATTGGCATGTGCCCCAAAGACAAATTGTTTCGAGGGTATATTGAGCTAGAGAGACAGCTTTTTGAGTTTGTGCGATGCCGGACGTTATTTGAAAAGCAACTCGAATGGAACCCTTCCAACAGCCAAGCATGGATCTCATTTGCTGATCTGGAGCGTGGTCTAGACGATTTAGACAGAGCAAGAGGCATCTACGAATTGGCAATAGATCAACCGACGCTCGATATGCCAGAGTTGGTCTGGAAAGCTTACATTGACTTTGAAGAATACGAGGAAGAGTACGGACGAGCCAGAGCATTGTATGAGCGACTACTCCAGAAGACGGACCACGTGAAGGTATGGATCAATTATGCGAGGTTTGAGATCAACATCCCAGAAGCGGACGAAGGAAATGGAGACGAGCAGCAGCCGGTTAGTGAAGAAGCTAAGGAGCGGGCAAGAAAGGTCTTTCAACGCGCCCACGATGTCTTCAAGGAAAAGGATCTCAGAGAGGATAGAGCCGACCTGCTGAGCGCATGGAGATCATTCGAGCGCACCCACGGAAGTCCTGAGGACATTTCCAAGATTGAGAAACAAATGCCGAGAAAGGCAAAGAAGCGGAGAAAGGTGGAGGAAGACCGATATGAGGAGTATCTGGATTATATTTTTCCAGCTGACGACGAATCAGCAGCCAAGCTTTCCAGCATTCTGCAGCGTGCACATGCGTGGAAGCAGTCACAAGGCAGCAATAATGACACCAATAATGGCACTAATGGCAACGTTTCATGAAACACCAGGATGTGCAACGCATGAGCTGTCTGAGATCACTATTGATTTGGGAGCAGTGCCTGGACGATTAAGGTTCGTTGGCGCTTGGATGGACGGAAAATCATTGTTGACTCGTGGAAACTTATTGACCATGTATCATGTATGCAGTGTGACTGTGACGGAGGAGGAGCAGGAATGCAAATTGAAGAACAGTTGGCGCGTTGAAGCAGTGGTGTCACTTACGTACTATGCTCGCAGGATCAGTGGTTGGGCTATCCCGATACGTTTGTCCACGACCAAGTTCCGGAAACCGGGAGCATACGCAGAAACTATGCCAGTTGCGCCATTAATCAATTGACCTCATGCTCCCTCCACATCCTCCTCGGATCAGCACTCGACGAACATTCCAGAGGGTGGGAGACTCGGGAGTCTTAACCATTCCAGTACAAGTGAATTAGGAGCTTGGCACTTTAGCTGTGCGGAGACTGGTGTGACAGAGCGAAACTCGCGACCCCGGCAGTGGCGGAGACCCGGAAGGACCCCTTTTAAGTATTTTGTGCTTCTGATTGGCTGGTTCCTGCATCTGTGCCTGCGTCCGTGCCTGATGGCCAACGTAGTAGTACACAGGTTTCGTCTCCGATAACTGACTCGCTCGCTAAGTAAGTTAGTCAACATCCATCCGCAGGATCGACGCAGCCATCATCATCATCACCATCACAGCGGCACCTTCAACAGCGGCAGTCTCTGCCTGCCATCCTCCTTGTCACACATACAATTCTTGGTGCTATCACTCTATGGATATGCAAACATGTTTGGCATTCGGCTCTCGATCTTGTCCCCCGCTTAAGAAGCAGCGGTTCTTTTTTCCACAGACAAATGGTTCGTTCTACAATTCGAATCAGAGGCTAAGCTAGTAACACTTCTTCCGAGGAAGGATACCGGTGGCCTGAGGATCAGCCTGTGCACGCCCAGTTTTCAATCTGCGACGACGTTATCGCGACCGCCTTACAGAGTAGACCAGGCTTCAATTGTCAGTTCAAAATGCTGTTCCTCTTTGTGCTTAATATTGTTGCTTCAGATGCGAGCTTAAGCTATGATATCTGCGTACAGATTAACCAACAGTCTATAGTCCGTAATCTCTAATCTCTAATCCCTATCCGTAATCCGTAATCCGTAATCCGTAAGATATGGGCTCTGGGTGTTGAGTCTTGTGCAATTTCCCCTACGTGGTTGTGACACCGCGGGCTGCTTTTTCAAGCCACGCCCGTTTGGGGAAAGGACACCTCCCTCCACCAAATCTCAGGCCTTCCGAATTTGCCTGCGCAGTTCATTGTGTCGCTCTATCAATTACAGCACGCAGAGTATGCTGTCGACTGCCTGCAACACAGCTGAACAAGAGTGGTGAGTCAAACAAGAGCAATCGTCATCTACATACCAACAACGGCCCAGGGTCCTCCCGTCCACAATCTTCACACAGCCACCCAGTCACTCAATCGCCCATTCACCCAATCACCCAGTCTTCGGCCCCAAGTCATCCAACCTGAGTTGACGATCACCTCCAACGTCCATATCCTCAGATCCGATCCCCCGGCTCCTTTTACCCCTTTCAACTGGAATAAATGTCGTGATAAACGCCAACTCCAAGTCAATGCGCTAGTCGTCGCGTCAAGCAGGGCACTAAAGCTCGTATTGATATCAAGACAGAGGTCCGTTTCAAGTCTGTTCCGGGGACCTGGCAGTCATCCATATCCATCACAATATCGCATGCAATCCGAAACGCGCAAAGGACCAGAACGCTACGTGTAGTGCTGGAAGCGTGGCAGTGGCTCTAAGGTTTCTGGGAGAATCACTACACACAGTGAATGAATGTTATGAAATTATGTGCTTTTGAGAAGGGAATCATGCGCTGCGGTCACGACAAAAGCTTCTGTTCCGAAGGAAAGCTTATCGCAAATATTTCGCAACACCGTCTGCTATCGCTATGCATTGAAGTGGAGGAAGATACACCCCACTGAGCTCCCACTTCTTTGCCGTTTTCCAGTCCATATTTACCACGAGGATGCCTCCTCCGACACCTCCTACAAAATTGAAGGACCATTGCTCGATCATACACAACAACGTGCTTTACGTCTATTCCCCTGACGCGCTGCAATCGCTTGCTTTGCAAAAGAATGCGACATGGAGCGAAGAACCAATGGGGATATCTGTGACAGGAGCAACATGTGTCCTAGGAGGTATTGATGGAGATCACACCAAGGCTGCGCTATATGTGGTTGGTGGCTCCGCCAATTCTTCTTCTACACAGTACCCGGGGCTGCAACGATATTCAATACAAGAAAAGAGATGGGACAACATCAGTCCTGTCACTCGCGTCACCCAAAATCGTAAACATCATGGTTCCGCCTTTCTGAATGCTTCTTCTTCCATCCTTGTTTATGGTGGCTCCCAGGATGGGGACAACAACCCTTCGACTCAAACATTTTTGATCGAAACATGGCCTCCGTACAATGTGCGATCATTCAACTCACTTGCACCACCCGTGGTAGAACCGATCATGTTGGCCTGGGCGGATAATCGTGCTGCCATGGTCGGAGGCAGCCCGACCAACAACCAGGTTTTTACATTTGGACCTGACGATGGTTGGGCAGATGCGGGAGTTGCTTTAACGCAGCCACTACCGAGTGGCTCTATATCACAGAGTGCGTTGCTGAGTTTGGCTGATGAGAGCAAAATTCTAGTCACGTTCGACATGGGTCAATCACCCAACAGGGTCTCAGAGACTGTGCTTCTAAACCCAGGAGGACAACCAGCGCAATCTGGCCAGGCAGTGGGAAACATCGACAAGCCGTTGAGATCACGAAAAAGAGAGGTCACACTCGGTACATTCCCCCAGTATAATGATAGCCTGGCTCCGAGAACGATCAGAAGCGATGTTTCGTTGGCACAGGATTCCGATGGGCTTGTTGTCATCAGTGGTGGCAATGATCAGGATCCTCTATCAATATTCAACGCCGCCGAGAACCAATGGGTAGATGCAACGGAGTTGCTCGGTGAGCAACCACAGATTCCGTTGACTGGATCACCTACACCGTCTATTTCGATACCCACAGCATCTGCGTCGTCCACATCAGCGCCCACTGGTGGGACATCGAGGTCTCGTCCACTGACTATACTCGGCGCTGTCCTAGGGTCCACGTGTGGTATTGCAGCAATATTGATCATTGCCCTTCTACTCCTCAGGTGGAAGAAACACAAGAGCAAGAAGAACCCGAAGCGTCGAGATTCTAGGTTTCTGAACAACAAACAGCGCAAAGATAGTCGTCTGAGCTTCGAAGATCAAGGGCTCAGACCTATACGACCAGCCGCCGAGCCTATGGGTCACAGCGTAGCACCCTCGACCGATGATCTGACTTTGGTGGGAGGAAAAGGGTCACATTCTCGAAAATCAAGCTCAATGAGCAACCGACTCAAGCTTGATCCACAGCGAGCAAGCAATCTGAGCTTCGGACAGGGCATGTTCTCGCGAAACAAGAGTCCACTAGCTATCTCCCGCCCCATCCCCCATGAACAAAGCGCAGTGTTTCAAGAACGGCTAAGTACAGGTGGAGTTCGACCGCCTCCGAACCCTACTACACTGGATCCGATAGGCTCACATCGCAAAAATGACTCGGGATGGTCCACATATTTCTCTGGAAATACTGCTATGGATGTTGGACAGAACCGACATACCATAGAATCTCGAACTTCTCAAGGATCAGCCGGTCAACGAGGCAGCTACTGGCCTGACCCTGCCGCTCCCGTTGCGAAGCTGAGGACGGCTAATCCGGGCTTGACGGACAGCAACGGCAATCAGTTGGAAAGGTTGACCGTGCCAAAGGGCAGTCCGTCTATAGGTTACAGCGGTTTCGATGGAGACGGACACCGTGTAGCTGTGGCAGAAGGAATTCCTGCTAAGATCTCCAACACAGACTCTATGGGCACTGCCATCACCGAGGATTATGACCTTGGCCACCCTGTCAACCACGAAAAGAATGTTGGAAGCGGCTATCCAAGCAGCCAACCTCCAGGCAATTACGAGTGGGCTTTTCAAGATAGCTCATGGTCCAGCCCTCCCCAACGACTTGTGCGATCTCCTAGCAGCATCTACACAAATAGCATACATCCACCCAACGTTACATCACCTCCAAGCCAGGATTGGTCAAAATCTTCGATCAGGCCAGTCACGCAATGGCCTAACGACGTTACAGCCTTCCCCACCGTGCCTATCTTTACACCTGGAACCTCTAAAGGGCCAACCATTCCTGCTCGTGCTGGTCATCCAGCTAAAGAAATTCGTGACTACTTTGGCTCCAGCAAACGTCGAGAGCCCTCGCAGAACGACATGTCCTGGCTCAATCTGAACGGCAATGGAAATGGAAATAGAAACGGCAATGGCAGCGGCAATGGTTGACTGAGAATTTGGTCCTCTTAGATGCTATTCAAATTTCTCGTGGATGACGTGGCCAGTAAGTCGCCACGACCATGCCTAAATGACGCTGTTGTAGAGCTCGCCGATACTAATCCCACCGGATTGATGAGAGGACTAAATAGATGTCAACAGAACATCGCGTCTGCGCTTTCAAGGACCAAGTCGGCGCCGAGGCCGAACCAGGCAGTTCGATATCCGTTCTCACCACCAAGGGATAATCAAATGGGGTCTAGCATGGATGTGTACCCTGCTATTCATGATCCACCGCTGCCGGGGGGGAGTTTGCAACCAAGCAGACTCAGCCTGTAGCGTGTGAAGTTGGAATAGGAAAGATCGCACACTCGGGTTGCACCTCATTTTCCTGCATATTACTGTTCTTCTATGTCTCTACTTTGGCCTTCACTTATTCTCCCCGGGCTTTCTTTCTCTATTACAAGGGGATATCTATGGATTTATTCATTTCCTTCGCGTTATAAAGCGACCATGTATCGCATCTTCTGCTTGAACAGGCATGATGCACATTTCTGCTGTAATGTGGGCAGATTTACTGCTGAAACGGGATATCGAAGATATCTAGTACGACTAAAGATATATTTGCGATATTATATTGATCTTAAATAGTACTTATCCAGAGTACTATATTTTGGATCTATGAATCAATTTATTTGCCATTACTTGGTTTTCTAATACAAGGTGTTATCTCTAGTGTTCTGGTAACTCCATCCTTTTGATAGTCCCCTAAAGATGAACCTGCGACCATCGGAGGGTTTTGCTTGATGCACAGTAACTAGTAGTGCGGGCGGAGCGACCACCATGCGGGCGTGCCTCTTGATTGGATAGCGAACCGCCCCGCCGCCCAACTCAGCCTTAAGCTGAAGACTTTGCATGGACGTTTCTAATCAGCATGCCAAAGATCATCTCGCACCATGGAAGGTGTTGCTGCATTCGCGCTGGCCTGTAATGTTGTACAAGTAGTTGAGCTTTCGATCGAAGTCGCCGGTATTATTCAGCAAACGTACTCCCGAGGCAGATCGGACGACAATGCTACCACGCAAGATATATCAGAAAGGCTCAATACCCTATCTCAGACCTTGAATCAGTCCCTCACAGCTGATGCTCGTCACGGCTCGCCGACAATCGCTGAGTTGCAGCTACAACAGATAGCTCCGGAATGTTCAAAGATAGCTTTGGAGCTTGGCCGGGAGCTTGACCTTTTCAAAACTAGGAGCGGGAAACGTAATGCTCTGCGGAAGGGTATACGTGCTATGATGAAGAAGGGTCACATAGAAAAGCAGAAGGCAAAACTCCAGGATTACGAAAGAATATTGAATACCGGACTCTTAGTAAATCTCAGGTGAGTCACTCTCTTGCATCTAGCATCATCCTATAAGCTTGACGGGATGAATATCTCCTGTTCAGATCGTGATACTCACCAGACATCTTGCAGAGAGCAAAATAATGCAGCTTTGGTGTTACAGCAAGATGGGTTCAAAAACCTCGGGCAGACGATGCAAACTTTTATCAAGAATGTGGCCGCTGGCCACTCCCGAACTGAAGACATTCTACGATCTGAACATGCCCTGACAAGGCAACTTCTTGATGAGGAAGGACGTAAGATCGAAAGGAACCTGGGTGCCCAAATTAACAATCTGAGCAAGGTCCATCTCGATGGAGATAGATATGATAACCTTCTGAAAAGCCTGGAATACCCTGAAATGAACTGGAGACCTAGTCAAATCGGGGATGCCGGATCCAAAACCTTTGAATGGGTTTTTGATGACATTCTTCCCAATACATATTACGGAAAGGAACGACCTTGGGACAGCTTTTCGAATTGGCTCACTTCAGGTACAGGCATCTACTGGATCCAGGGTAAGGCGGGCTCGGGCAAAAGTACTCTGATGAAACATCTCTGGCAACATGATACAACTCGAGAAATACTTAAGAACTGGTGTTCTACCAAGAAGCTTGTAATTGTGTCTTTTGGATTCTGGTTGTCTGGGAGCCCCATGCAAAGGAGTCTAAGGGGAATCTTGTGTTCCCTCCTGTATCAGGTTCTGAATGAACATCAGGAGTCACTGCCAGGCTTTGTTGAGCCTACCTCTAAGCTATTTATGGGAAAGAAAAGCCCGCAAGACTGGTCTCTGAGAGAACTATCCACTTTTCTACAGAAAACAGTTCATCGTCTGGCAGAGACTTCAGCTTTCTGCTTCTTTCTGGATGGTCTAGACGAACTCGACAAGAGTGAAGATCCACGTGAGCTCTCAAGCTTGATCAGCACTCTAATTTCGGAAGTTAATGTGAAAGCCTGCGTTTCTAGCCGGCCTGAGCAGTTCTACTGCGATGAGTTTAGAGGGGCTCCATTATTGGAGTTACAAGATTTGACAAAAAAAGATATCATGACGTTCACAACGGAGCAGTTGTCAGATGTACAGACATCAGGACGGCTTGGTGACCTGGAGTCAGATATCCGAGATTTGGTAATCCATGAGATCGTGACAAAGGCAGCTGGGGTGTTCCTCTGGGTCCGCTTGGCTCTGCGTGATGTTCTTCGAGGTCTTACAATCCGGGCAAGTTGGAAGGAATTGCTAGCACGAATCTCGAGGCTGCCTGCAGACGTTGAACGTCTCTATGAAGATATTCTCGAAAGGTATGCTGAAGATTGGCACTTAGTGAAGGAAGAGGCTGCCCTTTATTTCGCGACTCTCCTTCTGGCTGAGGAGTACTCTATTTCAGGACCCTATCTCGATATTTTTGCAATCATTGCAAGCAAATGGCGACAGGGATGGTCAGACTGGAGACCAAATTTCTTAGTTGAGGAACTCCGTAAAGTTTGTTACCACACCATGCTCCGAATTCAGATCGTGTGTGGTGGAATGCTGGAAGTCACAGAGCACGACGAAGTTGTAGAACCAGAGACAGACCCTGATAACCCAGTGGAATTCTCCTTTCGAGGTCGAAGAGTACTTCTCTTTCACCGCACGGTTCGTGACTTTCTCATGGATAATCCAGCAGGACACGCAATATTAGGATGCTCCACCATATCAAAAAAAGATCTGTTCCATGCCATGACGGAAGCCCATCTGTTTTTCCGAACAATGCGTCTTTATCACTCTAGTTGGGACGACATCGCTAAATTAATCAGAAGTATTAATAGGTATCATCGCCTAAATGGCTATGTCTCCGATGACGAGATTGTCGCAAATCTCAACCAGGTACAACAATATCTTCCGCAGATTGCCCACGCCGCGCTCGCAGAACAATTCGACCTCCCCCATGAGATCGACCACTCCATTGTTCAGAGCAATCGATCATGCGAGTATCAACTTGCAACGTATTCTTTTGGGGTGGCGTCTCCTTTTTTTTGTGCCGAAGATCTTGTGGGCCTTACCCTTCAGATGGGAATCTCAGCTTACCTTGAGAACTTCCTGCGCGCCTATTCAGATACTCAACTCCAAATGCCAAAATTACACAAGCAATACAAGGACTATCTGCTTCTATGCGCCTGTTATGGCTATGCCATGGGGAATTTATACAGTACAGGTATTAGACCAATGGAACAAGTAATGGTGCAGTTATTGAACATTGGAGCAGACCCCAACGCCAAACTCTTTCTTCAGCCTTCGCTGCCATATATGACTACTCCGGGTAGCACATTGCTTCTTACGAAGAAGCAAAGAATGATGACGACCAACTTCTGTGAACTATTTTGGCATTTCTTGGAGAAAGGATTCCGTTTGGAAGACTCTGAGTTTTTTTATTACACAGTCGGATATGAATGCGTCCCGATGGCAGGCTACCGAGGACTTTTTCAAATGGGATCACTTGTCCTCCTTTTTCAAGCAACAAGACGCCAAGGCCTTGTAAGCAGTTGGGATGCCATGGTGCAAATATGTCCAAACCTGACCTTATTTGACCGCTGCGAAGCAGAGCCTGATAATTCTGATAGGGACGTCGTTTTGGTGCGGTCCATGTACATTAAGGATCACGACATTGGGGAGAGAGCTGTCGTACCGACGTCTGACCAGTCGGAACAGCTTCTGTTAGTTGTTGACATGCTGGAACGGCTGAATGCCGACCAGGCAATTGGCGACGACGCTCGTTATGAGAAAAGAAAAAACCTTCGTTCACAGTTCGACCAAAAGTTGCAAGAAGTAGTTGAATCGAACAAAGAAGAGGTCAACTATGAGAATTTCCTTGCTGAAAAGGGGCTTTCAACGGCTTGTTCCGACCCCGTAACATTGCCCGGGCCTATTCCCATGTATGAAAATGATTCTGATGATGCAATGACATCTGATGGCATCGCAAAGTATTGTGAAGTCTGCAAGCAACAGCGCAAGGAGCTGCTAAAGTATCGATGGGTCGCATACCGTGAAATGAAAAAGAAACCTCTGAAATTGTTAATCTCACAAGGGTTGGATGTGCGCGAGAACTACATGGTTTCTTCATGAGATGAGTCTCCATCAGATGAAATATGATCATCCTCCGCTGCCAGCCTGATCACACCTTACTCTATGTACAACTGTGCTACATGGTTGGAACGGCCGTGGGTGGTACCGCGATAGTTAAGGCAGTGGGCATTTGGTATTGTAGAGAGGATCATCGCACATCAGTTGGATTTGGGGGTCTCTAATGTGGGTATCTGAGATCTGAAGCAGCGAATCATATCCTCGTATTCTATCAATGCATCTCTGTTATCTGCTAAAGAGAATGTCGCATTAGCTTGCATGAATACTTCAAAACTCCATACTTGTGACAGTTTTTTCTGAAAATTAAGATTACCAGCAGGATTGACCTCTAGGCCTCGGGCGCAAGATGTCCGGCTGGGAGATGGAGACGGAGAAGTATCCCTAAATTCCAAATCTTTCCAATCGGTTCCCAGGTAAGCTCGAGGACGAGGGTCATGTGCGCGGCATGTAAAGATCGTTCATGGAGGGCCCCGAGCTCTCCTCGAGAGAAAGGGGGGAACACAAAACTACGGAGGTAGAAGACGGACGCTGATAGCGTACGCCACTGAAACCACTAGTAATATCAGTACAATAAGTCTTCCTACGTGTTCATGATTAATCATAAACAATTTGTCTGTATTTGCATACAAATTGTTAAGAAGAAAACCAATGCACACTAATGAGGGTTCGGCCGCGAGTAAAGTACGCCTCTGTACGGAGTATGTTACCTCGATCCACAGGCGTACCCAGGAGGTTGTAGTGTGCAGAAGATAAGCTAGAAAGTAATCTCTGAGCTGGGTTTTATACTAGTAACAGAAATGCCAACTCGCCAAGTTGATTAGCTGACTCCGGGAGGGGAAGGCTGAGTGGAATAGGACGTGTCCACATATGGACTCAATTGAGAGGAATAGACAAATGGAAATAACTGTGACGGTTGTGATATGAGATCTGGATAGCTTTTACTACTAGTATAGGGTTACCCAGCCAGTCCTTAAGAGTCTTGGTCTTCAAGAAATTAGAAGTTGCCAGGACTGGCGCTGTATCTGAACTGGTAAAATACATCTGGCCCGAGCTCGGGTTCCATCAGAGTAAAAGTGGCCAAAAGTTGCCGAGATCAATTTCGGCCCTAAAGTTAGATCGAGGGTGCGGAGGATTTCTAAGGCGCAGGTTGTGACAACTGTACAACAGCAGCAACTGATCTTCCAGCCTCAGGGTGTTATTCCAAACTTTTCCTCCCCGAGCCGTATAGTCTTCCTCTTCAGTAGCGTCAGCCAGAGATCCTCCATCGAGTACAGAGCTTTCGCTTGTCCCTCAACATCACTTTATTCTCCACCGCCAACATGAACGGCGCTCCAGCTCAAAAGTTTAAGGTCGCGGACATCTCGCTCGCTGCCTTTGGGCGTCGTGAGATCGAGCTCGCGGAAATTGAGATGCCGGGTCTTATGGCTATCAGACAGAAGTACGCTGAAGATCAGCCGCTCAAAGGTGCCAGAATTGCAGGGTGTCTACACATGACCATCCAAACCGCTGTCCTAATCGAAACACTTACTTCCCTTGGTGCCGAGGTTACTTGGTCAAGCTGCAACATCTTCTCAACTCAAGATCACGCCGCTGCCGCAATTGCAGCTGGCGGTACACCAGTCTTTGCATGGAAGGGCGAGACAGAAGAGGAATACCAATGGTGCTTGGAGCAGCAGCTCACTTCCTTCCCTTCGAAGGAGTCACTCAACCTCATTCTGGATGATGGTGGTGATCTGACTGCCCTTGTGCACAACAAGTACCCTGAGATGTTGAAAGACTGCTACGGTGTCTCTGAGGAGACCACGACTGGCGTTCATCACCTTTACAGAATGCTGAAAGGCAAGGGTCTTTTGATCCCGGCTGTCAACGTCAATGACTCCGTCACCAAGTCCAAGTTCGACAATCTTTACGGCTGTCGTGAATCTCTTATCGATGGCATCAAGCGAGCCACTGATGTGATGATTGCCGGAAAAGTCGCGGTTGTGGCTGGTTATGGTGATGTTGGGAAAGGATGTGCACAAGCCCTCCACTCCATGGGGGCACGAGTCATCGTCACTGAAATTGACCCAATCAATGCTCTTCAAGCAGCAGTTTCAGGATACCAAGTGACCACGATGGAAGAAGCAGCACCACAGGGTCAGATCTTTGTGACCACCACGGGCTGCCGAGACATCATCACTGGTGACCACTTCTCTGTCATGAGAAATGATGCTATCGTATGCAATATCGGTCATTTCGACATCGAGATCGACGTTGCCTGGCTGAAGAAGAACGCCAAATCAGTTCAGAACATCAAGCCTCAGGTTGACCGTTACACTATGCCTTCGGGTCGCAATATCATTCTCCTAGCAGATGGTCGTCTAGTCAATCTTGGATGTGCGACTGGCCACTCGAGCTTCGTCATGTCTTGCTCCTTCTCAAACCAGGTCCTTGCACAGATCATGCTCTTCAAGGCTGAGGACGAGGCATTCGGCAAGAGGTATATCGAGTTTGGAAAAACTGGCAAGAAAGAAATTGGCGTCTATGTGCTACCCAAGATCTTGGATGAGCAGGTCGCTCTTCTTCACCTGGATCACGTCAATGCTAAGCTGAGCAAACTCACCAAAGCCCAGTCGGATTACATGGAATTGCCTATCGAGGGTCCCTTCAAGTCTGATATGTCAGTATTTTCCAGCCCTAACCTTGGTCCATGTGATGGCTTACTGACCGTGTTCACAGCTACCGTTATTAGTCTACATAAGCTTTTGCTCGCTTTTCCGGACATTCATCATGTCGCTGCATTGGGCGGAGCAACCGGAGAATTGGGAAAGCGAAAATCATGCTCAACGCATACTAGACTCGGGCTTCTTTTTGAAGCGACCAAACGATTAGACGTGTTTACGAAAATCATACCCGGGTTCTCTCAACCAGAACCCACACATTCGGGTAGACTTGGCCTTCAACGGACTGATGTCTAGCCCATGCTTTTAGATGCCTCTTTGTTAGGGCAGATAGAAAGCCTTGCAAACTCTGCAAGATGTTATCTGAATCGCCAATATAAGTCTTTCTTCCCACAATCGTACATTAGATGGTTCAGTCCCTCTTGAAATGGATTCTCACGGGGCTGTCTCTCAGTCTTAAGGGATGCTGTGGTATGATAAGGACTTTGGGATTCTCGTGCAACCGGTTGTGACTTCTTTATACCAGTCTCCTATCTCTTCAACAATGCATCCACACAGCTAATTTAATCTTGTAGTGGCATGCTGGGGGAGTAGTGGATTTGTCTGCCAACCCAGAAATGCCACATGAGTGGCTCAGACCCTGCATTTCGGCTGTCCACATACGTAGTATTTTCACTCTATCTTATTGCACCGCCACGAGCTTTGTTATTAGCGTATTGGTCATAATCACAAGGTGGAGAGAGTGCTCTTCTGGAACCTCCCAATATTGAACAGCATATAGCGGGGCATGATTCCGTGGTACTCCCGCCTCAAATCAGGCGAGAATGAGTGCGGACAATCCGCGGGTTGCCTTCTTTTAAGAACGACCTTACTAACCGATCTACCTGTTACACAATAATGACTCTGGTTTCATCACAAAGCAAAACCGTTGCCTGGAAGTATGCTATTGACAGGCATCTTAGTCGCCTTTCCGACACGCAAAGGAAAACATTCTCTACAACGGCAACTCCTGAGGAATGCCTGGATCTCATTCGACAAGCTCAAGGACGAAAGAAATATGATCGCTTTATAGTGGCGCTGCGGCCATTGATCGAACCTTTGAAGAGGTTCGAGGGAAGTATTGATGTCCTTGTTCAGGCACAGTCGGGCATCGCTTCACCAATTTGGGGGCCCCTACGGATGGTGATCACAGTGGGTATTTCAGCAAAACAGCTACCATATCCCGTTGGCTCTTTTCTAACTGGTAGTAGCTCATCAGTGATCGCCTAAAGACGCTGCAGAATCTTGTCGTTCTACTTGATAGGATTGTTGATCCACTGAAGCGCTTTGCCAATTACGAGTCTCTCTTCAGTGAGAACGAGCTTCTACAAAATGCTATTGCTGCTCTGTATTGCGACCTCCTCGAATTCTCTTCTCGCATCATTCGGTACTATTCAAGGTCATCGTTTTGTTCGTCCGACTCCTGAGCTCTTCTTGCTGTGTGATTCTGACGCTTGTCGCAGTAAATGTCTTCAGCTCTTTCGACAAAGATCTACTTGAGGTTTCTGATAGCGTAAGACATCACTGGACCGAGATTGACATTGTCGCCAATGCGGCAAATATAGAAGAGGCAAAGAATGCCCGAGAAGCCGAGAAAGTCCAGCGACAGTGTGAGTAAACCAACTTTAGTGGCCTCGAGCAGCTGTTAAGTCTATCAGTGGACATACGGAAAGACATCAATCGCTGGCTCTCGCCCTCAAATGTTTCTGATGATCTTGCAAAGCATCTTTCAGAGTACGTGGAGGGTTCTTGCAAATGGCTCTTAGCAGAAGCAGCCTTGAAGGATGTCCTCAGTACTACCGATTCTTCAATGCTGCGCATCCTCGCAAGACCTGGCGGAGGGAAGACCACTGCGGCAGCTTTCCTGATCAGGCAGCTAGCAGGATCTACTTCCGGAGCGACTTTGTACTTTTTCTGCAAAGCTTCTGATGCAGAAAAGCGGACAAGTCTGCACGTTCTTCGATCACTCCTTTGGCAATGTTTGCAGTACGACAACAACCTATATGCGGCAATGGTGCAGTGGTACTACCAAAGTGGTCGTTCCATTGCTGACTCGCAAACCGATGTCATTGGAATGTTTACGACCTGCATGCAGGGCACCGCTCTGCCTGCAATCCACATCGTCATCGATGCCCTTGATGAATGTCTAGACAGTATGGATCTCCTGCCAGCACTCTCCAACGCAATGGCCGCTTCTCGCAGGCCACTCAAGCTGATTCTCTTCTCCAGAGACGGCATGAGTCTGCCAGATGTGCCAATTTTGCAATTACCAACCATTCATTTGACGAAGGATAAATGCCGAAGCTCAATAGATTCTTATGTGAAAAAGCGGCTCGCCGAGGTTGATTCCCTTGAAGGGCATCGGCATGACGATCAACTGGCCCAATCAATCTCGCATGCCGCAGATGGTCTCTGGCTCTTTGCACGACTTCTCATAGATGAGCTTCACTATGCACCAAGCTGGGGTGAAGTGCAGCGGCAAATTTCGGGCCTGCCGCACGGATTGAGGAATCTCTATACATCTATTCTCACCACAAAGGAAAAGACGTTCTCGGGGATGCAGCTAAAAATGATCCAAGAATTATTCCTTTGGATTGATACCACGGAGTACCTGCCAGAATGGTTTCGTTGGAACAAGAACAGTGATGTTATTGAAGATCAAACGATTTGTGCGATTTTGGATGTTGCTACGACCAGCAGAGAGCTCTTCGATCCACCAAACCTTATTAAACGGCTGGCATCGCCCCTGCTGGAAGTGCGCATCATCTCTCCCATGGTCGCAGTTGATCAGCATGGGACTCCATATCATTGCACTGCGTTCTCTGTCGAATATGTCCACCAGACTGTCATTCAGTATCTTCGATGGACTGTAGATGCGCTCTCAGCAGACCTGCCGCACTCGCTAAGACCAAGGCGACTGGCTGCTCTGTACCGAGGCGTGACCGCGACACATTATCTGAGCCAAAGTGATGACTTCAAAGATAATTTGCAACAGCTGCGTGAGCGTCCAAGACATGGCATCTTTGACAATTACCTTGAAATCGTCTATGGGCTGTGGGGAGCGCTGAACTTACCACATCTGAGGTGGGATTTGGATGCGGAGGAGAATGCCAAAGCAGCAACTCTCTGTGACCAACTCACCCATTTTCTTACAACAGAAAAATGTCTGGGATGGATAGAAGCTGCTATTATCATCAACTATGCTGGGCAATGGGTTAATTTGATCGAGAACGTCGAAAACGTCCTAGAGGTCGCTTCCGATCCATTGAGTTCGGCTCCAGCTTTTCACCGCTTCCATTGTGCACGGCAGACCCTCATGACTGACTTTATATACGTTCTGGCACAGACCTGGCCACAGGACGACCTTCCGACACAAACGCTCACCAGGATCGCTCAAATACCAAGGGGGTTCTATCAAAGACCATTGGCCAGGAAGGTCATGGCCCTGGCTCGGCAGTATCAATGGCTTCTTTCGCCAGCACAAGCGAGGTCGAGTAATTGCTTCTCGTTTAATGGCCGTGGGTAAGAATGAACAACCACGAGATGTACATCCGGGAAAAGTCACCCACCAGCTCTTCGCGACTTAAATCCCTAAATTAAGGAAACCTTCAACGGACAAGACTTCATCGACTTTGATCACTCGACTGGAAGAAAATGTGAAACCACCGGGGCATATGAGCGTCGGAGCTGAGGACTCAATCTGGACCGAGATCATCAGTCCCCAGACAAACTGCTCCGTATTCAGCAAATGCTTAGCATGGCCAATTCTTCTATCAATTCTGTGGAGAAGTGGATATAAGCCTCTCTAGATCTACGACTGTACACAAGCTGCACAGAGACTCGGTGACAGGCAATACAAATTGGATGCACATAGGGACTGGGAAGATATTTGTATAGAATTATTCCCTTTTCGTGATACCGTTGATACCGTCTATGGTGACCCGGGCGCTTCCCGTACAACGAGGGAGATCGGCAGCACCCCTGGGGTCAGACTACTACATAGTAGTACGGAATGGTGCATATTGAAGATCCCCGGGATTTAAGGATCAGTAGTTAGTACTACGTACTACGTAAGGCAGGAGAGAAAGGAGACCACAGTCAGCAAGGGGAGCGCCCAATTATGCTGATTGTTCCCTAGGCAGATCGGGCGCCAAAAGGACCTGACCTAGCCGCAATGGGATAAGAATGCTTCCCTCGCGCCTTTCTCTCCTGGCTAACAGAGCCGGGCGCAAAGCTAAAACGCTTTCGCAACTATCCAACCGCCCTCATACAGAGACCTTTGGTCCCCATTTCTCCTGCCAGAGATCAAACTTCAGCTCCTAGTCGTGCGTCCACACAGCACAGATGGGCACCTGACCTCCGCAAGGCACCCTTGATCCTCCCTAGATTCGCTGTCTTTCTGTCCACGATCTTTATTGTCTCCCCTTGGCATCGCCTAGAGGGCTACTAGTACTACTAACTTATGTAGGCTGTTGAGAATCTCGTGCCACAAACACTTCTCAATCTCCTGTTGTACCGTACCGAGTATCCATTCGAACCTGTGGCTGGTCCATGCTTTCATACCAGCGACCAAAGATATGCCTATTCTCGAGTAATCATACGCGCTTCCCCAATGGTCAAGGAGGATGGACTCTTCACGCTTTCCTCCCGGGGAATCCTTCCTCTCTTCCCCTCCTAAGCCAGCAGCGACAACCCGACCCATCATACCCGCCAATCTCAACATCTCATCCTTCTTATCCTTTGGCAAGCAACCGGCCAAGACGTGCTCTCCGGTAAAACGCAAACCTTTACCACCAAGTTCTCCTGCTCTGGCGCCAAAGAGAAACGGCGCAGCTGCCAACAACCAGAAATTGAGCCCCTCCTCCCTGGTGGCAGGCTCGGAAGCGTCCTCTCCCTTGTTGGTGAGAGACCTTGATCAGTCAGTCACTCTGCTCCTCCCGTTACCGCATTAATCAACCTGACGTGCTGTAAAACCATAGGTATCCACGAGGCCAATCCCCTTTCCTTCCCTCAGGTCCCATAGTCCGGAAACCGGTTAATGCTGGAAAAGATAACCAATCACCAGCAAATGCCTCCGGCTTACAAGGCCGGCCTCTTCGACATTCGAGAATCCCAAGTGAGCCCATTATACAAAAGCAGAGCATTGACGAGCAGGAAGACACAATGACGCGGTCGAGGACAATTGCTCTGCAACCAAATTCGCGCCCTCCGCCTCTCAAAATCAACGTACATGATCGTTCTTTGTCCATCAACCTGGTAGAGCCGAAGCAGCCAACAACGCCAGTCAACAAGATCACACAAATCTTCAATTGGAAAAGAACGGCTTCTCCTGGCGATGATTCGGACAGTACAGATGTTTCTGACAACAGCCTGTCTCCTTTCCCTTCACCCATGGCAGTCTCGCCACAAACCTCTCGCTATTCGGCTCGGTCTATTCCTCATGTCATCGATACACAAAAAGCGAACATTGGTGTCTTCCAGGATGGAGAACTTGAAAGTCCATGGGTACATTCTTCGGCGGGTGAGCATGATCTTTCGACCAAGGTTGGTCAGCTAGAGGGTGAGCTACGAGAGATTAGTTGTGAACTGGCTGGCTCCATCAAGCGAGAGATGGAGCTTGAGGATCTAGTAGAAAAATTACAAACAGAAGCGCCGGGAAGCAATGACGAAACACGCACGAGCGACTACTACTCCGACTACAGCGCAAGTTCCATGCGATTCACTATTGTAGAGAATGTATTGAAAATCGAAGACTTCGAAAAGATCAAGAGACAATCAGAACAAGAGAAGGCTCAAATGAAGGTCGATCTTTCTCAGCGGTGGCAGGATGAGATAGTTAGAAGAAAGGCATTAGAGTCACATGTCCAGCTGCTTGAAGGCCAGGTTTCGCGATTGAACCGTGAACATATCGATGCTTCATCGACCCTTTCCTCCAAAACCAAGGAATTAGAAGCCTCGCTTGAGGATGCTCGTCGGCGCTTTGCAGAGGAGCGACGGATCAAGGAGAAGTTTGAGGATTCCTTGACTGCTCTTCGCAACGATCTCGAACGGCATCGGCAGGAACGGGACAAACTACGAGACGAGGTGGTTCCAGAACTGCAGGCCAAGCTCCTTTCCAAGAACATTGGGCCTCCATCGCCGTCCTTCGACCATGCACGAATGCAACAGGAGATCCAGGCACTGAAAAGCGAGAATGCAGCTCTCAAGGAAGCTCGAAAAGCACAGCATGAAAGTCAGCATGGTCAACCTCGTTTCGACACTATATCTGAAGAAAGCGAGCCTTCTTCGTCCTCCATTGCACGAAGCTCTGTTGGCCTCAGCGGGTCGAACTCACTGGCTCGTGCTGCTCCGCCCCGTGCAAGTGGCCTTGTAAGAACAACATCGTTATCGAGATCGAGATCGAACTCCATCGGCGGCAAGAGTCCGACAGAGCCGCGCGAAATCCTCGTCGACCGGATGAAAGACGTGGAATTCCAGCGAGACGCACTTCACTCTGCAATGAAAGCATTGCTAGCGCGACAAGAATGCCAGAATAAGGAATTCCAGAAGCAGATTCGGGCGCTTGAACAGGAACGAGATAGAGCTATGTTACCACCCACTCCACGGAAACAGGGCTATGAGAAGGAGGTTCGAAGTCTGCGACAAGAAATCAACAATCTTCGACAACGAGCGAATGAAGCCATGACGCAGAAGCTGCAGTGTGAGAAAGGTCTAGGAGGATTGAAGATGGATCTCGACCGGTCCGAACAGGAGACAAGCACGCTTCGAAGATTGCTGAAAGAGCACGATATCGCCCTGCCTGAAGATCTATCCGGCTCATTACAGCATGCCTACGACGCACTACAACAAGACCGCGTCAATGCCGAAGCTCGTATTGAGGACGATTCTTTTTCACGCTCATTGGAGGAAGAACAACGACTTGCAGCACAGCTTAGGCAGAGTGCTGAAAGATCGGAAGGTCTTGCTCTGCAAATGTCAGCACAACTGGCGACAAACCAGGCGCTGCGCAACCGACTTGCGCAGGCAGTGGGACGTGGAGAGAGGGACCAGGCTGCCAATACGGGGAAGATCACCGAACTTGAAACCAAACTTCGTAGCTTGGAGGATACCGTCACAACAGCACAGCAACAATCGGAGACAGAAGTCATGAAACATGAAGAGGAAATGCGGATCCTGAAAGAGGCGCATAATGCGCAACTTCAACGATTGAAAGCCTCTGGACTTCGTAGCCCAACGTCACCTGGGTTGTCGAACAATAAACGAGGGCTTACACCTCTTATCTCTCCCATGTTCGCCCAGCGCAGCCCGAAGCTTGACAAGACGACTTCGGGACCAGGAGTGCGTCTCGATCAAGCACTGAGGACTGAGCATCTGGAGAAAAAGGTTAGCGAGTTGGAAGCTGCGCTGGAGAATGCAGACAATGAGATGCAACAAGTTGTATCACGAATGAATACTGCGCAGATCGAGGTCATGGAGTTACAGACCGAGAGGTAGAGCGATTGTCTCCCAGATTCCCTAGTATTAATACTAATCTTGATCTCTAGGGACGAAGCTTTGAGGCAGACCAGAAAGCTTCAGGCGGCGATCATGGCGGAACGTGAGAAATTGCAGTCGCTTATGAATGACTCGCAACAGTTTTGATGTGATGCTTTCGCTTTGGTGTGAGAATTACGGCGTCTACATCTTTCCGGTCTGGAGAGGTGTTCTTGGCTTCACTTCTTGAGGCTGCATTGTTGGTGTCTTGGAGTACCTTCTGGCGCTGTGACTAAACAAAAGCGGGAGCAAACAACTGACCGATGCCTCTGTTGGTGAGATCCCCCTTGGGGTCGACTCTGAAATTGTCGACCGAATGCTATATACAGCGTGACTATTCTTGGCCCGGAAAAGCAAGCGTTCTATACTGGAGTATCAGCCTGAGTTGGATTGTTGCTGTTCTTTATATGCTATTGACTCTACTTATTGTATATAGTTAAAAGATGTTTGGAGACTGGGTGAGGCTTGGGATGTGGCGTACGGAAGGATATCTTGCCCGGTGTGAGAAGACAACATTGTGTCTAGGTAATGGAACAGCATCCGAAGTATGTTGACATACAAGGCGTGGGACTTCGACGAATACTACACTATTCTAGCAGTTAGATCGATAGGATTAAGAACATTGGGAAGTTCACTTCTTAAGCTAGTCAGCGAGTCTGTATCTTTCAGTTTTGATACATGCTATTTAATAGTACATGATAACTTGGTTGTAGAAGGACCGACAAGCTTAATATTGTGCCTCATTATGTATGGCGAGGTGGCTGGGATAATTTTTGTACGGCCTGACACATCATCGGAATCTATAAACATCCTGTATTAGAATATTCGCCGATCGATACTATCTTGTATTGATAATTGGGCCATCTCTTGGGCATGTATCCAGTTGCTCTCTAAATCATCTCAAGGCAGTGAGCACTTTAACCCATTTCCATATCTGAAGCAAAGCCCTGAGCGAAATCCTCTTCTGCCCGACATCTTTTCGAAAAAAGAAGGAAAGGAGAGAGGAAGAAATCAGCCAGAGATCATCTACATTGTTGAGCGTCATCCCGTTTTTCGGCTTCCCTCCTATATTTTGTCGCTGGCACTCTCGTTACATGCGTCTACCATCCCGTTACAGTTCAGTCAAAGAGTTCTACTAGCCCTCAAAGACTTCTATTTCCAGTAAAAATAGGCAAAGATGACAGATGCCTCCACCCACCCAGCAGAATTCGTCAAGGCCCAGCAAACTCCAGAGAAGAAATCATTCATGTTCATAATCGAGCATCTAGACCCCGAGTTAGGAGACTGGTCCGCGCTCGAATACCGCACCATTGCTAAAGAATGCCGAGAAACCAAAAACCAATTCATCCTGTGTTCTGTGCTGCAAGACTTTGTCGTGAAAGCTGAGGGGTTGAGTTTGGGCGATGTTGTGGCTAAAAGGGTGGAGGAATTGTTTCCCCCGGAAGAACGGGATGGAAGAAGGGGTCGGAGGGTCTGTCTCTTGGATCCTCAGGCAAAGAAAGAGTTGAGTCCGGAAGATGGGGATTTGTTTGAGGGGTTCTTGTTCGGTGGGATTTTGGGTATGAGACCACTTCCCTTTTTGCTCTCACTGGTTCTTGTTTCGCTTATCGGTCAGGCGAGCGTGAGGTGAAGTGGGTGAGAAACCCTGGCTGACACGGTCTAGGAGACGATCCACCTAGAGGTACGACACCAGCTCTGCTTCTCCTTCCTTTCTGCCTCTGTGATGAAGGGTTGAAGTACTGGAGTTGATGAGGAAATCCCAGATCGCACATCAGAGCTACGCAAAAAGGGCTACGAAGGCCGAAGACTGGGCCCTGTGCAGATGACTACGGATACTGCTGTGAGGGTTACGAGGATGGTGGTTCAGGATAAGAGTACGTGTCTACCTTGCCTGTGACCATAGACATTTCTGAATGGCCAATGGCTGAATGATGATGGGGTTACCAGTCCTGCTAGAAGAGATACCTTACGTCGACTTCCCGGAATTGAAGCTCGATGAACATGAAAGTACGGAGATGCCGTTCCGGTATGTAAAGGGGGAAGATGGTGGCCCGGTTATGCCTGATGTATGTATCATCGATCATGGACATCTTGTGCGTGATGGGAGGGTCATAACTGACTGTATGGAACAGGGAATGATTGAATTGATCAAGAAAGATGCGGATAAGGGATTTGATGATTTCTTACAGAGTTGAGACTGCTCAAAAACAGCTGTGGTGGGTGGATACGCGGCGATAGTATCTGTCGCTACCGTGATAGTCTTTGATGTGTAAAGTGATGTCTCCACAAGCAGCTAAGGCGAGCATGTGTCTTCCCCCTGCCCACCAGGACATCCACCTCCAAGCTTTCGAGAGAGTACCATCCATCTTAGGAATCCGGCTTATTTGCTGGCATTTGCAATAGATGTTGGTGTCCAAATGTTCCGGTGTCAGGGTCACAACGCCTCGCAACACTTAAGGGTCGTCTAGTCCAAGCTTAACTAATTGAACTTCTGGCTAACTAAAACGGGCGCGCTGATCGGGAAATATTCGGGCTAACTTGGTTATTTACGAACTCGAGGTGTCCGCATACGATCCTGAATAATGAGCAGCCTCCAATCTGAAGTCAACTTGAAGTCAGCCGACTCCAAACGACAATTGAATAGAGATTGCCAACACATCTCGATCCTTTGCTTCAGATTCATCTGTGGGTGTTTGGCGACCTAAAACCAACAAAGTGGGCTCAATGAGGTTTCAGCCCCAGATGCAAAGAACACAGTAGCCTTGGACTTTAAAGCCAGGACGACTCGGACGTCCTGGACGTCGTGGCTCATCATATCGTCATGAAGATCCCCGCTCTAGGTCTGTCAGGCCATTCTAGGACGTCGATATCAGCATGGCTGCTCAACGCGATAGCTCTACTGCTGTTGGGCCAGGCCTCAGTAACTGCAGAGAAATCCGCTGCAGACTACTTTATACGGTCCCTACCCGGACAGCCAGAGGGACCTTTACTGAAGATGCATGCAGGGTAAGTCTTGCAGTGACTACTGGGCCGGATCTGAAGCTGACAAGATGCAGACACATCGAAGTAAACCCTGAACATAACGGCAACCTTTTCTTTTGGCATTACAAGAACCGCCATATTGCCAACAAACAGAGAACTGTGATATGGCTGAATGGCGGGCCCGGATGCAGTTCTATGGATGGGGCTTTGATGGAAATCGGACCATATCGACTGAAAGATGATCAACATTTAGTATATAACGAAGGGTCATGGGATGAATTTGCCAATCTTCTCTTCGTGGATAACCCTGTTGGTACAGGTTTTAGCTATGTCGATACGAACAGCTACTTGCATGAGTTGCCAGAAATGGCAGATCAGTTCATTGTCTTTCTGGAAAAGTGGTTTGCAATATTCCCAGAATATGAGCACGACGACGTAAGTAGTATTGTTCACCTCGATGCCATGCCGCTGCTGATTTTTGACCAGATCTATTTTGCTGGCGAGTCTTACGCCGGGCAGCATATTCCATATATCGCTCAGGCCATCATCGATCGTAATGCCAAAGCACGCGGGCAAAGCAAGGTGGAATGGAACATGAAAGGGCTCCTTATCGGCAATGGCTGGATAGCTCCATCAGAACAGTATCAATCCTACCTCCAATTCGGATACGATGAGGGTCTGGTGCAAGGCGGTTCCGACATTGCAAACAAACTTGAAGCTCAGCAAACCAGATGTCTTGCAGATCTTAATGCTCCTGGCGGTACGGAGCACGTGGACGTGGCTCCATGTGAAAGCATTCTAACGATGATGCTTGATCTTACGCAAAAGGACAAGAAGTGCTACAACATGTATGACGTGCGTCTACTTGATGACTACCCGTCTTGTGGAATGGCATGGCCTCCTGATCTAACCAGAGTTACTCCTTACCTCCGCCGCGCTGATGTGGTCCAAGCATTACACATCAATCGAGATAAACGAACAGGTTGGACAGAGTGCGCAGGTGCGGTTAGCGGGGCCTTTCGTGCACGACATTCGAAACCAAGTATACGTCTGCTACCCGGCCTGCTCGAATCCGGCCTCCCAATTTTACTCTTCAGCGGAGACAAAGATCTTATCTGTAACCACCTGGGCACTGAAGACTTCATTCATAATATGGCTTGGTCCGGTGGTACAGGGTTTGAACTCTCCCCTGGCATATGGGCTCCGAAGCGTGACTGGACTTTTGAAGACGAGCCGGCAGGCATATATCAAGAAGCTCGCAATCTGACCTATGTACTATTCTACAACTCAAGCCATATGGTTCCCTTCGATTATCCGAGACGAACACGAGACATGCTGGATCGTTTTATTGGCGTGGACATTGCAAGCATTGGCGGAAGTCCCGCCGACAGCCGTATTGACGGAGAAAAGGCTGGACTGGAGACAAGTGTAGGCGGTCATCCCAACAGTACCGCAGCCGAAGCGGATGAAAAGCAGAAGCTGAAGGAAGCTGAGTGGAAGGCGTACTACAAAAGTGGCGAGGCAGCTCTCGTGGTGGTTGTGATCGCTGCAGCAATCTGGGGGTGGTTCGTTTGGCGGGGACGACGCAGACAAAAAGGCTATTCTGCAGTGCCACTGGGAAATGGTCGTTTGGGGATGGAGGCTTTTAGATCCCAGCAGGGCAAGAGAGATGTCGAGGCAGCAGATTTTGACGAGAATGAGTTGGATGATCTACATAGTCGACCGAGACCCAACGGCATGGCAAGAGATAGAGACGCGGAGCGATATGCATTAGGTAGTGATAGTGATGAAGATGGGAGGAACACGGTAGGCAAGGAAAAGGGTAAGGTAGGGCCGACGTAGCTGATTGATGTGGTCGAGCATGTAAAGTATACTGGTGGGTGTACAGGCATTTATTGACATCCTCATTCTTCAATTTTAAGTTTTCCTCTTCTCTCTCTTTCTTCACTCTCACTCTCTCACTCACTCTCACATTTACACACTCTCTCATTACATGAGGGAGCATCAATAGGCCCTGTCTAGAATAGGCGGCGAAACCAAGATAGTTGGGATGCTCTCGGAATTATAGACGGCATCGGAACAGCCTAGACAGTTTGGCGGCACGCCTCGACCTGATCTTCGCTTCCGAGATCTCGATTCACCACTAGATGGCGTCCTTGAGAAGCCACGATATGCACGGCCGTACGCATCCTCAAGGGTAAGGTTACCGGATCTCTCAATCTCGACCAAACCTCCAGGAATTATTCCAAATGCAGCCATCCACAGATGCATCAGGTCACCATGCTCCGCAGTCATATCAGTCTCTAGTGTATGGAGTTCCGACCGTCTCGACCAATACCCGTGATGAGGATATTCTGACATGGAATGACAGCTTTCATTCTAGGCTTGGGGGTCTTAACACACGCCTGGGACTCCAGGGCGAACATGTATTTACGAACGCCACTTAGTCTGTTTGGGTGTTCGTCTCACATACATGTGTGCTGGATTCAGTGAGTGGGCACACAGCCAGGCAGACGGGCAACAGCGCTCTTTTGAGCTGCGGCCCGTTTCCAGATCAGCCTGGCTCTTTCCCGACTTTCCAGCCTTTACTTCGAGAGAGGTCCGTCTTGATCACATGGTGCTTGTTTGTATTCCATACCTGTCATATCAATGATAGAGTCACGATCGTCCCTGTGTTGCTCAGCCTCCTATCCTCTGTTTTTGAGACCTTTACTTGCACAGTCTCGAATTGTCTCAACACCTTGCCCAATTAGACGCTTTCTCGAAACAGGGTTTTCTCTGCTCTCAGCTTTTGATAGCTGTCTGCTAGCCACATCTCCAAGGATACACCATTACTGAGCCGCGGATCGGCAGATCTTCAATATTGGTGCATGACTGGCCGTCCCGTTGTCCGGGACAGTCAAGACAGCAAGCGCTAAATTGCGACATTGCTCTTTGGTGAAGTATGTCTATGGGCGAGATCTTCACCTATAATCTGCTTAATCTGTCTCTAGCAAGCCATTGCCACATCGCACTTTTGAGTACTTGGGCGACATCTGATGTTGCGGGCGGCTGTTCTCATCCATGATCGTAACACACATTATGACATGTGTCTTTGTATTTGAGCTCTTTAGGTGCAGCTCCAAAAGCTATGAGCGCAGGTGAAATGGTCAATGTCCTGGCACGATACAATGCCGGATTTGTCGTGTTGTCTTATCTTGTCTCGCTTGTTGGCTGTGTCACTACGTTGGAGCTCGTCCACCGGAGAACTTCAAGACATGGCGCATACAATTGGTGACCTTGATCACAGCACATCAACGGTGATGCCTCTACTAACCTGGTTGTAGGTATCTGTTGGTGACATCGTCAATCACAATGGGCGGCATAGGTATTTGGTGTATGCATTTCATTGGAAACAGGGCAATCGTCATGGCTGAAGGCCAGCCAGATATGCAAATCGTTTACAATACTGGTTTTACGTCTGTCTCATTCTTTCTGCCGATTTTGGTTTTGTCTGGAGCATTTTATCTGCTTGATGCCACTGACAGGATCAATCGCTATTATATTGCGTTGGCGGGTCTATTGATGGGTGTGGCAATCAGTGCAATGCACTACGTGGGTCAACTTGGAATAGCAACCTACCACTGTACCTATCGAGTTGGAAACGTGGTTGGAGCATCTATCATCTCGATCGTGGCCAGCATAATTGCATTGAATGTCTTTTTCACCCTTCGAGAGAGTTGGACGGATAGCTGGTGGAAGAGGGTACTGTGTGGAACAGTCCTAGCATGCTCAGTCTCTGGTATGCATTGGACGGCCACAGTCGGAACATGGTATCGATTCAAAGGCTCTGGGTCAAGACCAACTGATCCGTTGTCGAGGAAGCAAACTGTGATAGTGTGTGCCACGTTGGTAAGACCTCTCCTGACCTCTTCTGAAATCGTTCTAAAACGTGACTAGTCAGTTGCGACCTGCATTCTCATGCTCTTGGTTGCTTTGATTGCAGGGTACAAGAAGAAAACGTGTCGAAGTCGAGCTCAGCAATTAGTCCTTGCCTGTGGATACTTTGACGAAGGTGGCAGAATCATGGTCACGACTGAAGGCGCTTTGCCTACACAGAAAATAGCGGATCACTACATGGACAAGGTGGGTTGGATTGCCATGTGCTGGAACGTTAGCTGACATCATGTGGAAGACATTTTGTGACCAGGTCTTTGACAGGACACATCCCGCATTTATTTGGGCTTTCAGAGCTTCTTACAACTGGCATACCTTGAAAGCATTGATTCCTGGCATGAAAGATCATCTACATGCCACCGACAGTGCCGCCATGCACTGCCCAGAAGAATCGAGATCTATGGTCAACACCTGCAGCGCTTGCCCAGACTTCTCCATGGTCTTCAAAGAGCTCTTTATCTTGGCAGCTCTGAATCTCGCGTATCAAATCCATCGACCATTAGAGGTCTTGGGAAGATTGTTCGAGGAGCCACTCGAAACTGGACGAAGAACGCGGCTGCCAAGCTGCAGAAGAAGCTCGGATGTCGAGTCAACTCCAAGTCCCGTGGATAAGGAAAAAGATATTCTTCTGCGCTTCCTCAGCGCCGGCAAATTCCTTTTCGTTACACGGCAGGTGAGCAAAACCGATGTGGCTCTTTTCGGAGCTGCTGGGTTCCGATTTGCCCCTATAACGCAAATTTCGGGTGCACTGTCGAAAACCATGGAACTTCCTAGTGATGAGCTGACAGCTCGTCTTCAGCACATGCGGACCCAGACAGCCTCTGAAAAGCTCATGCCACCTGGAGTGCACCTAGCCTGCTTTATGTTGCGCCCACGTCTTCATCAAGGCTTTGATATTCTGGTACCTGGAAAATCACGTAATCAGCTGCCCGCCGTCAAGTTACCGTATGATGACCTGACAGACCAGCAAGCTGAAGTACTCAGGAAACTAGACGACCATACCGTTGCCCAGATGTTCGAGATGCTACAGGGCAGCACTGACCTTGGTTCAAAAAATGAAACCGAGTTTTATCGGGACTTCCTACGTGCACTCACACAACTAGTCAGACAGATCGATGATACCAAAATCTTACAGGCCAAATTTTCTGCTTGTGTGGTTGAGGCTCCGTGTCAACCGCAGGGTCATTCCGATACAGCATCAAAGCCTTGTTCCTTACTTTCAATTCACATGATCAGCACAATATATACCCCCTCGCCCAAATCCGACTTCGTCTTCATACCTCTCCGCTCCTTTACGGTCCAGCAGCAGGTGTATATGGGTGTGGCTGATCAAGAGGCATTTGCACGCCAGGCTGTTGTGGAGTTTGCCCATTGCTTTGAGCCAGGAGAAGACGAAAATAAGAGGAATTCAAACCACTCATCTCGTGTGCCGATCCTATCTTCACGAGCACCCGACTCACCCAGCAGCTGGCACTGGTCCAAGGGCAGCAGTCAACGCAGTATTGACGAAGCTCGAGGTTCAAGCAGCACGGCTGAGAAGCTTGTCAACTCTGCTTCTGGTGCGATAGTTGTTAGCAACGATGTCACACTGGATATTACCGATACGTTAAAGCCAATAGAGAAGGCTGGAGAGGGGCAGAATGAGATGGGCTCGACGGGAGGCGCAAGTGCCACTGCGGTTGAAACAGAAACTTATGTGGATAAGCTCTTTGCATTGTGTAGAGGATGATAGTTTCTCCAAAATATGTAGACGATAATGTATCAATAGCAACAAGCAATAGACCTTCACTTTCTCCTACCGCGAGCGCTGACCGTTCAACAAGCAACCTCCTTTTTGATCTGATGTCTGTAGCTAGACACCTGATATGCGTCAAGTTGTTCGCATAGCCTTAGTAGATGCTGGCCACTCCACAGGCGAAGATCAATCAGGGGACGGGCTTGGCGTTGTACTTAATGGTGAACAGCTTCAAGTTGGAGTTGTTTGCTCCACTTCTACGTTAGCACCAACATCTCCAACATCTTGACTGAATCAGTATGTATTTGATAAATATGAAGACGCGCATCAGCCCCAATTGAGAAGTCTGTAGTTATGGAATTTCTTCAAGGTATGTCCGAAATCAGGAGGATCGTCTCGTTCAGACTTCCCGCACTCTCTCGAACATGCTTCCCACTTTATCCGTGGAACATGACAACCTCAGCTATCTAAGTAGCAATGGCTTCCACACCACCCTTTCTTGTCTACTCAATTCCCCCCAGGGCAACAGCGCTCTCAGCTAATCCCGCCCTACATGCACCTAGATCAAGCGCTGTCGTATCTCCGCTCGTCGCCGTCGCTCCTCTCAGCCTTCTTCTCCAACCCAACCACAACACCCTCCTCCTCCTCCTCAACGAGAACCTCCCCACAACCAAACACGACGACCCAGCAATGGCTCCGCTACCTCGAAACCTACCTCTTGACCCCGCTCTTCACCTACCTCCCCTCGCTCAACCCGCTGTCAGACCCCAAAGCCAGCAACAACCGCACCAATTTCAAATCTGCCGGCTCCGCCAGCAACGGCGGTGCGGATGTCCTCACGACCATCCTCGTTCTGGCCTCGCTCTTTGTCGTCTTCAAGATCGCGAATTATATCCGCAGGTTGGTGGTCTGGTGGACGGTTTTTCTGCTGAAGATTGTCTTGCTCTATGTCGTCTTAGTGCTGGGGGTTGGATCAGACGGTTAGGGATGGGGCGATGGCTTGGGGGTTTGTGGAGGGCGTGGTGGAGTGGGTGGGGAGGGAGTTTGGGGGCGGCGGTGGTAGTGGGACGGGAAGGGGAGGAGGAGCGAGGGGATATGATGCTAGAGGACCGGCTGGGAGGAGCGGTTATGGCTCTGGGTACGGTTATGGGGGAGGAAGAGGACAGGTTCCGAGGGGGACAAGGAGGGGTGGTTGGGTTTGAGGCTGAGGGAGTTGAACGAGAATTCACTACCGGAAGAAAATGGGATTGAATCTTGCAAAGAAGAAACTGGAGCACAAGATTTTGCGCTTTGGCATGATGAAAGATCCCAACTTAAAGAGGAATTACAACCCAAGGACTTCTTTCGATGGTCTCATCGTCAATTATTCTCCCTCATCGACAAATACGCTTTGGCCTGTACTTCACCCCCAAGCGAAGTATTCTGCTTGCCATCGCAATCTCATGGCTCCCAACACACGGCGCAGCAGTAGCAATATACCTCATGCGGAGTGACGTCCTTGCTCGTTCTTTTCCTACGCCAGACTTTGGCACAGGGCACCTCCAAGGATCCTGTCAAGGTCGATCAGAGCCTCGTCCTCTTTCAGCTGAGCACCACATGCCAGAGCGTAACCAGGAAACTTTCTCCAAAACGGTTTCAACCTTGTGTCTGCTCGATCGGAATCCGAGGTTTCATCATAAGTCTCTGTCACAGTCGACTTGTCGCACTTCATCCACCCTCCCACGCTGGCTCAGCATCTTCTCGTTCTCGCGGCTCTCGTGGTTCTTGCGCTTCATGGTATTGGATCGCATCATCGATGTAGCTGAGAATGTCACCCACACTGTCTTCATCCTGAACATCAAGTCGCAGAAATGATACCATACTGAAATCATCGATCAACTTCGCAACAGCTCTGTTCAGCTTTTTGAACGATCCACCGCTCATGACTGTGTCAATCTCTGCTGGATCCCTCAAGTCGACCGTATGTGCTGCGCTCCCTCGTCCAGTGTCTTCGTCGTCCAGAAGGGCTTGATCTGGATCCACAAAACGCTTCAACTCCTTTTGGCCCATCAGGTCTTTGACCAAGTCCATCTTGGACAAGATATTAACGTGAGGAAGCTCGAGCATGATCATTGCGCTCATGGCGGAAAGGGTCCCAGCGAAGAATTTGGCCTTGTCAATCACAAAGGTCGCTTCTAGAAGGTATGCAGCACACAGGCTGATGTTCAACGGGCCGGATCTTGAGAGATGCCCGATCAGTCCGGGAAGAAGTGGGATGTGCGTGTATAGTTCAATCTGACCAGGCAGGTCGAAGATGATGAGATACTCCTCGCTCAGAGGTTCAATGGCTGTAGATAGAAAATCCAAGTTCTGTAGCAGAAATTCGAAACAGTAGATCAGGCCACCATTCGGTCCGAGGGACAGCTCCTCCATAACATCGTCGAGGGAAATAAGATCTTTGATATCGAGATCGGGTTCATAGCTGAAGTCTGAGGCGGCGGGATCAAGGTTGACATAGAAGCAACTTCGCCGAGAGTTCTGTAGGTGTTCTATCAATGCTGTGCAGAAGGTAGTCTGCCCATACGTTAGCGGAGCGGCTTTTGAGGCAGATATGTCTTCATGGCAGCCTACCTACCTTACCTGCACCTGCTGGGCCCATCACCAGGACACCAAATTTGGACATTTTGACCGTCCCAAACCCGTCGAATCAGAATTGACCTGCACGCGGTCCCAGGAGGTCAGCCTACGAACCAGGTGCCTGGACCATCTCGGTACGAGTAAGACTTCATGGGACATTTATTGAATGCTCGGGGCCCAAGAACAATGCTACTGACTACGTTGTAGTAACTACAGATACTCCGCAATCACTGCCAAAACTGCTCGGACCGGAGTAAAGTTTCCGGCCAGCTTAGCCTTGACCCCCTTTGGATGCAAAGTTTTGGCTGGGGAAAATGGCGCCATTACGGCCGATTTCGTCCCTCATAAGGTTATCCCACTATCGACGGCCTCGCATTGGGCAACGTCTTTTTGGTGGATCAAAATGTCATCCTACGCTTCTGTTGCTTGAATTCTTCTTCCCATCCCCCACACAGAGCTCAGTCACTGTCACTCCGGACGGCTTTCAGTACAAAGAGCTCAATTGACTTATTGCCCTCCACCCCCTTCGAAATCTGTACATATCGCTTGCACCTTACACTCTTTCGAGCAATTTTTGCACCTCTGAAAGAAAGTCTCCGAGATCTCAGCCCCGGACTCCAACATGGGCAGCATCACAAACGGCAACCATGGGAAGGGTGATACATTCCTCTTCACATCGGAGTCGGTTGGCGAAGGCCACCCTGACAAGATTGCGTCAGTTATCCTGCTTCCGCTGTTCGAGGGAACCGTAACTGACAACCACTATAGCGATCAGGTTTCAGACGCCATCCTCGACGCCTGCCTAAAAGAGGACCCTCTTTCCAAGGTAAGTTCAGAAAACGTGGCAGACGAAGCAGATGATGACCAATGCTCCTCTGCAGGTTGCGTGTGAAACTGCTACCAAGACCGGTAAGTACAATGCCGTTCAGGGAATATTCGTCTGTCCTGACAATTAACAGGCATGATCATGGTTTTCGGCGAGATCACCACCAAAGCGCACCTTGACTATCAGAAGATCGTCCGAAACACCATCAAAGATATTGGATATGACCACTCAGACAAAGGGTTCGACTATAAAACCTGCAACGTTCTCGTTGCCATCGAACAGCAGTCCCCCGATATCGCTCAAGGCCTGCATTATGATGAAGCACTCGAGAAATTAGGAGCCGGTGACCAAGGCATCATGTTCGGATATGCCACTGATGAGACCCCGGAACTTCTCCCCTTGACAATCCAACTCGCACATAGATTGAATGCCGCTATGAGCGCAGCACGCCGGGACGGCACTCTTCCCTGGCTGAGACCCGACACTAAAACTCAGGTGACTGTCGAATATGCCCATGATGGTGGTGCAGTCGTCCCTCTCCGAGTCGACACCGTCGTCGTCAGCGCCCAACATAGCGAGGACATCTCGACCGAAAAGCTGCGAAAAGAGATCAAAGAGAAGATCATCCAAAAAGTCATCCCAGCCAAATACCTCGACGAAAACACGGTCTTCCACATCCAACCTTCCGGCCTCTTCATCATTGGTGGGCCCCAAGGCGACGCTGGCCTTACCGGCCGCAAAATCATCGTTGACACCTACGGCGGCTGGGGCGCCCACGGCGGCGGCGCCTTCTCCGGGAAAGATTACTCTAAAGTTGATCGCAGCGCCGCCTACCTCGCTCGCTGGATCGCCAAGTCCCTTGTTAATGCGGGACTTGCCCGACGAGCCTTGGTACAGCTCTCCTACGCCATTGGAGTGTCTGAACCCCTGTCTCTGTTCGTCGAAACATATGGTACAGGCCAGAAAAGCTCGGCTGAGCTTGTCGAGATCATCCATAAGAATTTCGATCTCCGACCGGGTGTTATTGTCAAGGAGCTAAATCTGATTGATCCGATCTACTGCCGAACAGCGAAGAACGGCCATTTCAGTGATCAGAGCTTCACTTGGGAGAAACCGAAGACGCTGAAGCAATAGATATCACTTTCAAATGACCCGATTTTGCTTATTTCTGTTGGGCTTGCTTTGTTTTCAACAACTCAAAGCATTTACAGGTATTCAATAGACAGATGTGGGATTGTTCTTGAGTGGTGAGCTTTTTTTCTTTTTCGCTTCCCCCGATGGAGGGTCCTTTTTTTGGTTTCTTTCCAAAAGGAGAAGATCATACTCTGGCGTGGGCAGGTCTGAGATTCAACACTATGATACCCCCTACGCGCTTTCTACAGGTTTAAAAGAATAGGTTGCCATTCGTGAAGGAGAGAAAGAAAGCAAAGAACCTAGATATTGAGAAAATGACAATATAGGGATCTGGCTTCTCGAAATCCTAATACATGGGACAAATTGGCTCCCGAGCTGGTCTGATGTGCAGCTGTCGTGACCATGCCTATGTTGGATCTGCCATTTCCACCCGGAGCCTCGTCATAAATACCTACCCCCAGAGACTGCCTTCCAATAACTATAAACATCAGTGGTCGTGGAGGTATGACATGAACGGGAAGTCCTTCAGCCTTCCGTTGTTAGATCTCTGGTCAGATAGATGGAGGGTGAGGGAAGACTGAGGCTGGCCGTGATCTTCAGTTAAGATCGAGAAGAAGTTGTGATCCATGCCAGGGCGGGGTATGCAAAGTGGCGTAACACAGCATACCAGTCGCTTCGTTCCATGACCTTCACTGCGCAGTTTGACAATGCTAATATGCTCCTAGTGAAGCTATTTTACTGCTGTTTCTTTTCTCCAATCCTACCTCACATCATATCACTAGCGTTGCATTTTGCACTACTTTTTATATATTATTAACGGCACAATACTATAGCCGCGAGCATACTGGTACTGGTGGATGGTCAGCCCTGCACCACATTGCCCACATCTTCCTCTCATCAACTCTTGCAACTTTCTCTGATCATCTTTCCTAACAGCACTTTCGCAATAATGTCAGGCCGGGACCGAGGTAGCCGGGGTCGTGGTGACCGCGGTGGTTACATGAGCCGTGGGCGAGGTGGAGGTGAAGGCAGAGGTGAAGGCAGAGGTAGAGGTAGAGGAGACGGTCCAGGATTTCGAGGCGGACGAGGTGGAGGTCGAGGCGCACCAGCGGCAGCGGTGGAGGTTTATTCGTTAGTATCTCTCTGCGTACTGATGAACTTCGACTAAGTTGATCTCGCTAGGGCTCCGGATCGATCTATCCCCAATCCTAGCGCCAGAGTCACAGAAGTCGAAGACCTCTTCCAGAAAAGCCTTTCGGCTAGAGGCGATTTGGGCATCAGGGACCTCCAGATAGATGCGAGATTTCCTCGCCGCCCTGGCTATGGCACCAGAGGCCAGAAGGTTATATTGTGGACGAACTACTTCGAGATGATTCCGAGCCCAGATCTGCTTCTCTACCGTTATAATGTTGCCGTGCAGCCTGCTGCAACAGAGAAGCAATTAAGCCAAATAATCAGATTACTACTGCAACTCCCGGAATACGATGGTTTCCAGCACGATATAGTCACAGATTTCAAGTCCAGTTTGGTCTCCTGCAGAAGACTTAGTCCTGACACGGCGGAATCGGTAGTACAGTATCGGGCGGAGGGTGAAGATGATCCTCGGGCTAACGCACAAACCTATCGACTACGCGTCGAAGAGACGGGCATTCTAACTGTCTCTGAGCTCACAGACTACTTAACTTCAACCAATGTGAACACGACGTATGCGGACAAGCTACCTGTGCTGCAGGCTCTTAACATATTTCTGGCTCATTACGCTAAGGCCTCTCCTACACTTGCGACGATTGGTAGCAGTAAAAGTTTTGACCTCAATACTCCGAAGTGGGACCTTGGAGCTGGAGTGTCCGCTCTCCGAGGATTCTTCTCAAGTATTCGGGTCGCGACTTGCCGTATTCTGGTCAACGTCAACGTCAGCCATGGAACCTTTTACGATCCCGTACCGCTGGATCAGTTGATTCAGAATTACGGCTCATCAAATCAGTTCAACCGAGTAAAGCTGCAGTCCTTCCTCGAGGGATTGCGGGTTAAAGTGATCCATTTGAAGGAGAAAAAAAATAAAGCCGGCGAGTCTATTCCCAGAGTCAAAACCATCTTCGGGCTTGCAGCTAAAGATGACGGTCAGAGACTGCAGCATCCTCCACAATTTGCAAACCAGTTCTTTGGCGCAGGACCGCAGGATATAGCGTTCTTCCTCAATGACTCTACCGGAGCTCCGTCAAGCGCATCCACAGGCCAAGCTGCCGGGACTACAGGCAGCAAGAAGAAAGGCAAGGGTGCTAGGGGCGGCGCCTCCAGCCATGGGCCAGGGCGAGATATTGCCCAGGCTGGGAGGTATATCAGCGTGTACGAGTTCTTCAAGAGCGGTATTTGCTCCACCACAGCTCCATTCTAAGCCTTTGTAACCAAGTGACAGTCCACAGCCGGTTGATTGGGAAACCAAAGCTCCCCGTTGTCAATGTCGGAAACAAGGAGAACCCGAGCTATCTCCCCGCCGAGGTTTGCATAGTAATGCCTGGTCAGAATTCACGGTCGAAGCTTGATCCCACCCAAACGCAACAGATGATCCGGGTCGCCGTCCGCAAACCCTGGGAGAACGCAAACTCCATAGCTCAGGAAGGTCTCCATACCGTCGGTCTTTTACCACGTGAAAATTCAAAAATGGTGAGGTCCTTTGATGTTGATTCAATGGATGATCAACGAGAACTGACACAATCAGAACCACTTCGGTGTATCGGTGACTACGAGGTTGATCACGGTCCCTGGGCGGGTCTTGACCGAACCGAAGGTTACATACCAACAAGGTAAATCACCCTTCGTTCGGGGAGGTAGCTGGAATATGCAAGACATTAAATTCTATACGGGAGGAATATTGAAGAATTGGACCTACTTAATGATCTCTATGGGTGGCCAACGAGACGCATTCGATCAAAGTAGCCTCCAATCCACCGTGGCTGAATTCCACAGAGCTTTGCAGAATGTGGGCATCACCGCAGCTCCGCCAAATCCAGGATCAAGGATTGTGGCCAATGGGCCCGAAGATATGCAAATTGAGACTGCACTCAGAGATACTACTCGCGATCCGAGGCAAGCAAGACTTGTTCTCGTTATCTTACCAATCGCGCACACACTCTTGTATAATCGAATCAAGCACATTGGCGATGTCAAAGTTGGCGTCCATACAGTCTGCGTGGTGGGTTCGAAATTTGCCAAGGGACAAGCACAGTACTTTGCCAACGTCGCGCTCAAGTTCAATCTCAAGCTTGGCGGCATTAATCAGTTGGTCGACAACACACGACTCGGTATCATCAACGAGGACAAGACCATGGTCGTGGGCGTGGATGTGACCCACCCGTCTCCGGGTTCCGCACCGAACGCACCCAGCGTAGCCGGTATGGTTGCTAGCGTTGACAAATCGCTTGGACAGTGGCCGGCGGATCTTCGCATCCAGAAGTCACGCAAGGAGATGGTGTCTGAGGTCGACTCCATGCTCAAGTCCCGTCTTCAGCTTTGGAAAACGCAAGGAAAACATGCAGCATTCCCTGAAAACCTCCTGGTCTTCCGTGATGGCGTTTCCGAGGGGCAGTATGAAACGGTCCTTAACATCGAGCTCCCGCTCCTACGCAAGGCTTGCGTTGACCTGTACCCAGCCCAGGATACGAAAAAGGGTCTTCCACACATCACCATCATCATCGTTGGGAAGCGTCACCATACCCGCTTCTATCCCACAAATGTCAGCGAAGCCGACCGCTCTGGCAATCCGAAGAACGGCACCATCGTCGACCGCGGCGTCACCGAGGTCCGTTACTGGGACTTCTTCTTGCAGTCGCACACCGCGCTCCAAGGCACTGCTCGGCCGGCCCACTACTACATCGTGCTCGACGAGATCTTTGCCAAGTGGAAAGTCCCCCCGCCGTTCCAGAACGTCGCCGAAATGCTGGAAGATCTGATACATCACATGTGCTATCTTTTCGGTCGCGCTACCAAAGCTGTTAGCATTTGCCCGCCTGCCTACTACGCAGACATCGTGTGTGAAAGGGCTAGATGCTATCTTAGTGGGCTGTTCGACATGTCTACGCCATCAGCAACCCCATCGCAAAGTCAAGTTGGGGAAGGAGGACATCCTGAAGCAAGGATGGAAGATGTGTTGATTCACCCCAACTTGCGCGATACCATGTTCTACATCTAATAGGATTCAAGGAGGAAATTGGCAGTAGGTGGTATCTTGTGCAGGTTTCCAGGGACAAAATTTGCTGGATAACGCAACACTCGTTGCTGAAAACTCAGAGAGTGTTATGCTGGAATGATTTTTTGGTTAAGAAATAGTGAATTTAGCACCACAACACTCGTTACTTCTTGCCGCCATAATGGACAATCACCGATAAGTATCGAGAGAGCCTGAGCAGTAGGAATCAGAGATACTGGCGATGAGCTTGAGATTATATATCTACTATTGCCTATCTACGACTGCTACAACTTAGCCTGCTTCGACACCCCACCGGGCTGGAATGTGATCCTCTGAGAAGGGATAGGAACAAGGGCCTCGACTGAACCCAATGTAAAAGAACAGGCTTGATGCTTTGAGGACTTGGGGCATTTATGACAGCTGTGTTTTTGGCGAGTTTTGTTTGAATGTGTCGGAAGAGGTAAATCACGGACTAATTTCAGGAATTCCTTTTATTCAGAGGAGTCTGCCGGTTGTTCGATGTTGGGTTAGGGTACTGTATTTTTCGCGGGTGGTATGGGAGGAAAGAACCACCGCCGTCGACGCCTGGTCTAAGCATTCATGTTGCATTGAATGTTGCATTTGGCATGAGCAATTGTAACTGACCGAGATTTAGCCGGAGCCGGACTAGATGCGCCGCTACTTAGACATTGTGCGTGCCGCTAGATCTTGCGTAGACGATAAGTCCAGACGCCCCTTGTGTTGATAGTGATCGACTCGAATGAGCATCAGCATAAAAGGATTAGTCAATGGAAGGCTTAGAGAGACCATCAGCACCAGCAATGAGAGGCCGGAGGGAAGCTCCTAATACGAGCGCAACCCCTCCGCTGACGTGGTCATGGCAGTATCATGGCAGTGTGATGGGCCACTCACAAGCTACAGTGGGCGGATACTAACACCGTTGTTCCAATGTATGTTTGCTGGAGGTGCCTGTGTTTGGGTAGCTGCTGTAGGACTTCCCTGAACCCTGTGCAAGTCGACAGTCCAGGATATTGCACAACATGCACCTTGCCCAGCCTTACTTATTACCTTACCTCAAACTCAGATAATTCCTGGCACTGGCATACTGCCATGGCAGTGGGCAATGACAAACTAAGACTCAGGATTCACAACTTCATATCCAGTATGATCTTGGTCTAATAGCTGGGGAGGTAGCGTGACATCCGCTTCTCACATCACCTCATCCTCACTTCTTGAAGTCAACACGCCTCCTGTCTATCTGCATGTGCTACCATCCACACCGTTTCCAAACTTATTTACACAGACTTTTGAAATGCCAGAGCCTGGACTCGACATCTTGGGCAAAAGGTTGGGGAACTGGAAAGTTCTCCTTTCCCCCAAAGCCCTCAAGAGTATCCGAAGCTTCAGTCGTTCTGGTCAAGTCCTTCCTGTTCAACAGTGCCTCTCGATCAAGAACGATGACAAATTAAGTAGGGAATTTCGGATCTATTGAACAGAAGTTACGCGAACTGGCCTCCGGATCATGGGAACACCCCCGGCTTTACTACGGCATCGGTAGTGAACAGCAGAGAAAGAAACTCCGAGTTCCACTTGCTGCCACTCGATGTAACGCGCAAACCTCTATTTTGTGGCAAGTTGACATTGCCTCGGATGATACGCCTCATACCGAGTGCCAGGTGGTCAAAATCTGGGAGGTCGCCGATGAAACTGAGCTGGCACAAGTGATTGACCGTGTCATTTTACTTCAGAAATCGTGTCCAGACGAACTTTTCACACAATGCCGCCAGAAAGGATTAGAAGATACCGCCAAAAACCTCCTTCCGAGGTCCTTTACTAGCCATTCAGACACTGCGAAGCCAGGAGAAGAAGTGCAAGGGCTGGATGTTAGAACAGTCGACCGAGAAGTGCTCCAAATGGTGAATCGCTTCTATACCCTTACTGAACCAATGATTCGCTCAGTTCTGGCAAATGACCTATGGGCAGAATTTCCATTTGACTTTTCTAGTGACGAAACACGGGTCATTCTGCATTTTGATACCTCCAACCTCATCCTAGGTCGGAGCGGCACAGGCAAGACAACATGCCTTGTATTTAAGCTGCTTGCAAAGTACGCAGCTGGCTGTGCTTTGATGGAGGAACGATCGCCGAGGCAGTTGCTTCTTACAAGATCTGCCGAGCTTGCTAACAAGCTCAAAGACTATATCGATAGGCTGGTGAGGGCATTGCCGAAGAAATCCATCGATGCAGGCCAGGAGCAGGAGACAGAGTTACCACTGCCAGATGTTGGGACTGAAGATGATCAGCCTTCTACCGTCTTTCAGCTGCAAAATCGTTCGTTCCCTTTGGTATGTACATTCGATCGTCTTTTGGAACTATTTGAGAACACTGTCGACTACGTGGATCGGGAGGGGTTTCCAGTCACCAATGAAGATGAAAATGATGATACCCAGGAAAAAGATCAGTCTGACCAGTCGGAGAGCTCTGAAGAAGAAATTCCATGGTGGCAGCCATCGACAAAATCCACGATCGCGCAATTCATTGACTCTCAATCTTTCAGATTGGATTATTGGCCGAGATTTCCAGCCAACCTTGTCAAGAATCTACCGGTAGAACTTGCCTTCGCCGAGATCATAGGAGTTATCCAGGGCTCCATCTCATCTCGGGAAACGCTGAAGCCTCTCTCACGTGAAGCTTACTTGGAGCTCAGCAGCAGGGTGGCCCCAACCTTTACTCTCGAAACTGAGAAGTCACAGATTTACGACTTATTCGAGAAATATCAGGCTTTGAAGCTTCAACGACGGGAGATGGACGGCGTAGACCGCGTTACAAAGTTGATCAAGGCGGTAAGAGATAACCAAAGACTGAAAGACATTATGGGTGCGACGTTTGATGAGATTTACATCGACGAAGTACAAGACTTGCGATGCCTACACATCGAATTGCTGCTAAGCATACTAAACGAAGGTCGTGCCTTTCATTTTGCTGGGGACACAGCACAGACCATATCGCAAGATTCACATTTCCGCTTTCAGGACATTAAAGCACTGTTCTATGACCATTTCGCCGGTGCAGCCTCGTTGGCGAACCAGCCTGAGCTCTCGCGACCACGCCTTTTTATGTTAGGAAAAAATTACCGTTCGCACCAAGGCATCCTTGGTCTAGCATCTCTTGTGATGGAGATGCTATGGAATGGCTTTCCGGAGACTGTTGACAAACTCGAGCCCGAGATCGGACAGATTTATGGCCCGATACCTGTCTTCTTTCTCAATTGCAACGTTCAAATGCTGGCATCAGGTGATACTTCCTCTGATGAGCACCCGAAACAAACTCTAGACTTCGGCGCCGAACAAGCAATCATTGTGCGCGATCAGAGCACCAAAGCCAAGCTTCAGGCGGAACTCAAAGATAAGGCTCTGATTCTCACCGTCCTTCAAAGCAAAGGGATGGAATTCGAGGATGTCTTCTTGTGGAATTTTTTCACAGATTCTCCCTGTCCTGGTGGATGGAGATGTCTAGATACCTTGAAGACCAAGTCAGGAAAGTTTGACTCTAAAAAGTATGCAGCAATGTGCTCCGAGCTGAAACAGTTTTATGTTGCTGTCACCAGAACACGCATCCGTCTCTCAATAATCGAGAGCGAAGAAATCTTGGCTGTGCGAGTAGCAGACCTCCTGAAGCATGATGTATCATCACCATTAGTTGAAGTGACGACGTCCTCCGACCCAGACTTCCTCCAAGAGCTTTTGTCTTTGCGATCTGTCTCGCATGATCCTTATAAATGGTCGGACCGAGGACATGAATTAATGCAGCGCAAGCAATTTGATGATGCAGTTATCTGCTTTCGCAGAGCTAAAGACAAAGGTGGAGAAACATGTACTACGGCTTACATCTTCGAGGAGAAAGGACGGCATCTGACTTCGAGCGGTGACGCTGGCGCAGCTCGGGATTGTTTTCAGTCTGCATTTCAGAAATTTCTGGAGTTAGATATAATCGCCGAAGCTGTACGATGTCTTGAGAAATTGGAAGAGTACCATGAAGCGGCCTTGCTGTGGGCTCAAAGTGGGAATTCTCTCAGAGCAGCACCATTGTTTGCGAAAGCAGGTATGTTCAAGGAAGCTTCAGACCACTTCCACAAAGCTCGAAATTACGACAAGGCAGTAGATGCCCTTCGGCAGGGTGACCTAGCTGAGAATTTGGTACCATATGTTACAGAAAATCAAAAGAAGCTGAGCCCAAGAAGCTTTAAAAGCCATAGCCGCTTTTGCATTTACCTCTTGCAGCAGAACAATATAGGCTCTCATCTGCTTACACCGGCAATCAGGCTTCTCGGATCTCCTAAAGAGCAGAAGGAAGCATTCATGGCGTACGAGATACATGATCAGCTAGCAGACCTCTATGCCGAGCAACGGAAGTTCAAAGAACGTCTCTTACTTTTCTTTAGGATTGGGAAGCTTGGTCATGCGTTGAAGGCCATCACCGATCGTAGCCCTGCTGATACCAATTCTAAAAGTGTTAAAGAGGCTCAACAGAGAGTCCAGAACTACTATTTTGCGAGTCAAATCGTCTGTCCACGTCGGGATGAGGTGCAAATTCCACATCAACTTCTATCATCGAACTCCGACTGGATTACTGCGCAGCGCTTGATGACCAGTAAGCAGCGAGGGGCCATCATCGGAAATATTGAGACAATCAAAAACGGCGTAGTAAAGGACTTCCTACGGCTTCATGCACTTCTGAATCTCGGGCTGCTTGATATAGTACCTACCCTGGATGCGGTTCCTTTCTGTGGCATTGAGACAGTCTTCAAAATGGCCGAGGGAGTCTCTTCTCTTGCTGAGCACACTCATGATCCAATCATCTTACTCCTCACTGGGGTTATGAAGGTCGACCATGGAACGAAGCCATTTATCCTGCTTAAGTGGTCCCCCTTCATGAATTCGCGGCCAATGTCAACGCCATAGAATATCCTAGGCTAGCAACTCGATGGTTTTTGGGTAGGCTCGGAAGCATGATACGTCGCCTTAATACGACCCTAAAGGAACTTTGGAGATCCGGGTGGCCAATGAGATGTACGCATTTCTTGACACGAGGATCCTGCGACGGTACTAGGGACCGCAGCTGTCGTCATCTGCACGAGAAGGTCAAAGCATCGGATTCTACCAAGAAGATGTCACTCCTAATCAAAATCACTGCCACTTTCTGCAGTCTCACAGCCATGCACCATAAGAGACTTATGGACAACGAGTTTCACCAACACTTTCCTGGGCTCAGACGTTTCTGGCTGGAGAGCCTTCTTCGAGAATTGATATTCGTCTCATCGTTCGAGCAACACTCTCACACTATGGTTGAAGCTCAATCGAACTTTATAAGCGCTAGCCGAAACCCAGGGCAGGAAAAAGGACTCTGCGTCCTCGCAATGAATATTGAAAACCTCCTGTTCCACAGACTGGGCAAGGACCTCAGTGAGAGAAATGATATCTCCTCATTGTTCGAACAAACTCAAGTCTCGCAAGTCCTGGGTACGGTGACATACCGTGCTCCCCACAAACACGATGTTAACTGACTCAATTTAGATTATAAGGTTCAAGGGCGATTCGCTCGGTACCTTATGGACAAGCTATTCCGGTCTGCGGATACGCAAATCCAGTTACGCCAACTGCGGGTACTTCGAAGTCTCGAAGGCAACATCGAAAATCCAAACCCTTCAGCATTCCGACAAAGCCTTCGACAATTCACATCCCAAATTCTGCTTGTAGATGTCAGGCAGTTTTTGTCATTCCACTCGGTGACAACGGTCTTCGAATTCTTTGCCGCTTATCTGATCATCAGGTCCCGCCGTGTTGCAGTCCTTCTACCACAATCATGGATCGACATTCATCTACCGTGGTTTGCTTACATCAAACAATCTCTCCTTGCCAGGGAAGTATCCAACAATGACTTGCGAATCTATACGGGCTAGCTTACTTGAACTGACAACCTGCTACTGCCAGCTTGTATTACGCCTGGGTTCCCTCCCGGGCCCAGGTTTTCGTCTAGGTCTGTCCATATATCCGCCTCGCCTTCTGTGGCAGCGAAATATGGAGCTTCTTGCTCTTATTGTGGTCAATCTAGGATTCAACAGTACTGGAATGGAGGGTTTCCAAGACGTGTGGCGAAGGGTGCGTCAGGTATGTAAAGGTTTCCCAAAGTCAGCACAATATCAGCTCACGTTTCATACCAGGTCTTCTCTCTTCCGTTCACCAGATGTTTTCATCTGCAACACCAAACCATACCAGAGCTCTTGGAGAAACTCATCAAGTCTTACAGAGCCTATGAAGGCAAAGTCTTCATCAAATTGGCCAGAAAGACCAACGGTCAATGTGCGGCTGACAGCCAATTACGAAAGCTAGGCGTCCAATCCGTTCCACTGGCCGAGCTGCTCATACCTACAGCTTTTACGTCTTATGGGCCCTCACAGGCTGTGTCTTCCAATGAGACCGAGGCACAACACTCGCATCAAATCAGAGCAGCCGAAAAAATCCAGCAATTCTGGCGATCCCACTATCCCGCATTGCTAGCCAAGAGAGCTTTCTTGGAGACTTCAATGGGCAGAACGTACATCCATGTGTTAGAGATCTGTAAGCGAAACAACGCATCCACGATGATGCGCCATCTCCTCCTGGGGAACGCGGTTGAGCTACTAGAAAATATCCACAGCACGAGCAGCACGGCGTCCGAGCTCCACCAACGAGCAGTCAACCTACTCAAGAGCCTGCCACAAGACAAGTTTGAGCTCGTCGACGAAGTTCTTCTGCGAGTCAGCGCCATTGAAGAGTCGTTGGAGAATGTCGCCTAAACCGTTTCTACGGAGCGTCTGGAAGAACTGATCAAGGTCGAAGGAGGAGGAAACGGCGAGGAGGCACAGCGCGTGTTTAGAAATGTGGAGAACGTGCTCGAACGTGTGGAGGATGATATGGCAAAGGTAAGGAGGATGATATGTGAGATCTCGGCGAAGTCCCCAACGACGACGAACCTGGACACCAGGGCGTGGTTAGATTCTCGCACAAGTACAAAGTGGTCTGTTGGAGGCTACGAGAAGAGTCAGACTAGCCAAGGTGTAGCATGACCTGTCAGATAGGAGCAAACTCCTACACGACAAAGAAGCTGAGAAATGTAGGTAGATGCTCCTTGCGAAGGGTATAGCAGCACATTGCAGCTAGCTCTGTCCGAATTCTGTCTTAATTCTGTCTTCTCAAACATAGGGGCATGATTTCAATGCTCGATCTATTTAATACCTCATGACAGGCATAGAAGCAGGGGAGAGAAAGGGAAGAGTGAGGAAGACTTGGATCAGCCTATGTGACAATATGTGTTGGGCCCCCTTTCCTGTCCTCCCCCCTCTCTCTCCTACTAGAACGCAGCAGTTCATTCATGTCCAATATCCCCTCCATGCCCCATCCAACAAAGAAAAAGAAACCCCCAAATGACCAAGAACAACAACAACAACAAGATGAGAACCGAAAACCTGCTCACATCCTTCCCAAATCCCACAAGATCCTCCTTTCTCTCCTCCAGCCTTTCCTTCTCCGAGAATCGACAAAATCTATCAAACCCAGCCCAAAAAAAGAATATCCCCCCTAATCACGGTAATCAGTAACATCTACAGTAAGCACACAGCAGGCAGGGTGCAGAAGGGGGGGAAGGGGGGGGTGGGTCAAAGGAGATCCCATCGTCATTATCATCCCGTTGAGCCGGACCAAGGCGGCTATTTTCTATGTCTGTCGCCTGATTTTGTGCATCATCGTTATCTGTGCCTGTGTTCTGTCGGGGTATGCAGGTGCGGAGGTGGAGTCGAGTGCATGGCGGTCTGGGTGTTGGGGGAGGGGTGTGATATGTAGGGGATGTGGCGTTGTGATGGGAGGGGAAGGGAATGGGGGTAGAGAGGGGTGGGGTTCGTGAGAGGCGGGGCGGGTAGGGTGGCGTGTTTGGGGATTGTAGGGGATGACGCTGTGGAGGGATTAGGGGATTAGGGCATAGGGTTAGATGCGGGGTTGTGGAAATGGATACTGTTTTTGTGGGTGCTGTTGCTGTTGCTGATGGGCATGAGATTGAGGATATGAGGAGTTTGGGCATCTTTTAGCATGTATATTTGGGGGATGGCATGCCCAGTGGGCTTCTCAACGGGACTTAAGGCATTCTTGGGTGGAGGAGGAAAGGGAATTGGAAAAAGTCGACTTCGGATGGTATTTCTCTATTTCTGGTAGCTGAACTAAGCGAATGTGGTGATTTTTGTGTGTGTGCGAGAATTCGTTGGTGTTGAGTGTGCCGTACCGAAGGACGAGGAGCGGATGTGTTGATACTATCGAGGCATGATTGCCGTTGAGGTGGAGGGGGAAGCTTGACCTTCTGGAGGAGCGGATGAATGTGCAGCACAACATCCATGAACTGTTCCGGATTGCTGTGAAAATTCGGCCTTCAACCTTCATCTGTTCTTCTGCCCAAGGAACTCAAAGCTTCATTCAGGCTTGAACTCGGCGACTCTTTGACTCAAAGACTGTGTACCACCAAATTGGTTCAGAGCATTAAATCCTTGATGAACGCCCAGCCAACAATTTTAGCTTCTTAACAGGGATGAGAAAGTCACCAAATATGGACGGAATCCTAGAAATGTATGCTAGGAGGGTCGTCTGCCCAACATTGTGGGTCGATAAGGGAGTCGTCTGGTTGAGGGGCAATAGTTGAATCGAGACCCGCAAAACTCTCCACGAGGTCTCGGACTGCGCTGGTATCTGAGGAAGAGCATCCGGGTTGTTGCAAGTCATCCATCATGGCCGGATCTTCAACAGTATATCGATCCCAGTTGCTGAGGATGAATTGAATTTTCTCGTCGAGGAGCTTGCTACTCGTTTTAGCGACTTGTAAGCGGTCGAATCCCCCATCTTGATAACCATAGCAATTCCCGCTTGGAGGCTTCTCCGGCGTCGGATGACGCCCCTTCTGTTGAGTCCAGTGCTCATGGCAACTCGCAATCGCGCTGGAGGGGTACTGCTCTACTTCCTTCCGCATGTTTACTTCTGAGATGATGCTACGGTGGCGATGGTAGCCATACTCTCTGCAATACTCCTGCTGAATACCCTTGGCATCTACCAAGGTGCATGCTTCGGCAATCATGAACGACGCGTGACGGTAAGCCAAAACGTAATGTGCAGGAATTGACTGCATGAATGTTGCAAACCCCGAGTAGAGAGGCATTCTGGTAGACGGCGGGCCACCGAACCAGGATGGAAACATTGCCAGATGCAGAGCGCTTCGGAGATTGTGGTCCCAGCCTTTGGTGGCCAGATACTTCACAAGTTGGGGTTTTTGCTCGATCAAGTCCTGTCGAATCTCTCGCATCAATTCAACCTCCCCGTCGACCAGCATTGTCGATCGTTTAAGCCGATTCAGCTGAGAGAAGAAAGTGATATTGGCGTGGCTGGAGAATGGGACGTTCGGGTAATGGAGAACCTGGAAGGCATGAGGGTACTGCATCATAGCTATGTCTTCGAGGAGATTGCCGTGGCCTGCCCGTGCTACCATAAAACTGCGGATACGACGACAAGTCAATGTTAGGGCTTGGAGATTCTGCGGCGAGTATTCGACAAATATTATGATGCGGTAGAGGACTTCATTCGGAAAAGATTCGAGCGTGGACGATGTCATCTTGAGCAGGTTTGGCGATGTCTATCAACGAAGAGTGAGGTGAATCCTGTTGGTGACGTGAGGATGGAAATTTGGGCTTCAACCTTGGTCTGGAAGTTGAGTGGTATGAGGTACCATTTGTGGGGTGGAGAGGCGATTTATATTGAGCATTATTCGAGCAGCGTTCGAAAGTGTTCTGCGGGAAATCTTTTATGTTCTTGTAGTTCGTGTGTCTGAACACAATATCGTTTTAAGACTTGTGAGGTTAAAGAATGATAGTGCTTTTATATTTGCGAAGAATCAGAAATCAGCGAACACAACCATAGACATGGCAGCATTTCCTTGTTCTATGACCTAGGCTCAACAAAGCTCTCCACCAGCATTTGCATTTCGCCTAGGTCTTCAGGTCTTTCAATGCTCCTCAAATTGTCCACTGCATCAGATTCTTGCCACAAGAATTCTTCTTAGTCTTCTAGTACTTCATATATCTTATCGTCCAGCATCTCTTCCATGCAGATACCTCATCTTTACCATTGCCCGTTCGCGATCAATTATCGACATCATGAGCTGCACCCTCGAACTCCAGGCCCACTAGCGAACGACGTAGACCAGCGGTTAAAACAGCGGTAGGCACGTCTTCAAATTCGAACCCGTGTTCAGGCATAGGCCAAGAGAATATTCGACCTAAGCTATATATAAAAGCCTGAATGCCTTCGACTTCATAAGAGCTTGTAATCCTGACTCTGCGTTCCGTAGCGGTGTAATAAGTTCTTCATGCGAGTGAGATCGAAGATTGACATCAACAATCTGGAAAATATCCACTATTCTGTGAGAGGTGTGCTGTATGGCGAGAACATCGTGAAGACTCAATGAGAGCAGGAAATCGCGGGTAGCCTTGTGCTATTTGTCGGAATAGGTAATGGAGTGTTGTGAGAGTGTCGAAAGAAGAGATACTATACAATCTGAGAAGCAGATTCTCCTGCCAGCCCATGACCTTGAAGTATTTCGCTGAGACTGGCAGAGCTGTCCTGCACCGGATCTTCCATTACCGCGGTCTTGCCAAAACTGACATGACCACGTCGCTCAGATTTTGTAGATCCTAAGTCATGCAAGATATGGCTTCTTCTGTCTAGGGTAGGTCATTGTCAAGAAAGAAGGATTGCTGGCTGCCTTTGGGCCATCCGGGAATCGGCATGCCGCAATCGGTTTGACAATCGTTGAAATTTGGATTGTGATTGAGGCATGAAAGTAGTAGCTCATCAATCAGAGATTCACGAGATCCCTTTTTGAGCACAGGATCTGTGCTAACGATATTATCAACCGTCAGGAGTGCTCATTGGTTGGATCTTCTACGCGGAACGCCTGCGTTTCTCCTGCTTTTGATTGGTCAATTTCCACTGCAATTTCACAGCTAATTACGCAGTGCCGTACAGCGAATATGTACTTATATCTGCGCCCTGCGCAGCTTTTTGAGAGAGAACAGAGCCGTTTCTCCATCTTGCTCGACAGTGTTAGAGGATGGTAGCAAACAGCGTACGGAGGTGCCAATTCACTTGATTGAGTTACTCCTATCAAGAGGAGCATTTGCTCATACTAATAGCTATGGAAGCGCATTACTGTAACAGCTCAGAAACAGCATTTGGCGTTCAATTCGTATAGCAATGCTCACTGCCATAAATAACAGGGCGTAACAGTTACAAGAGCGTTTCGTGCGTTTTGCATGCGGGGACCATTGTACCATCATGCTAATACGTAACAGATACGTATCATGTACGCAGGGATTCTGACAGACAGATGTTGAGAAAGACCTCAAGGGGAAGTGATTCAATTAAAGGCAGTGACAATGTGCGCTTACTGGTGGTTTTATTTCTGGGATGAAAGAGAGCTGTTGTATTAGGAGTAGGATACGCTTTCTAGATTCTGGGTCACGACCTTCAGCCATTACCAGTTACGTTTCTGTGTCAGCCTGTTTGTTGGAGAAGATTTGGTTATGAGCCTGCCAGTCTCTCACATGGCCTGCCACTGAGCACAGGTCAGTCGCTGCTAAGTCATTTACGATATCTGAATGCAGTATATCTGGTTGCATTCTTGAGAAGATGCAAAGTGTTCTGTTACCACCAGATTAGGTGCGCTGCCTAATGGGTTATCTAATACGCCACCTCAAACTTCCTTCAAGCTGATTGAGCCCGGAGTTTGTTTCTGAGCATATGCCAAAGACCTGGGAGTAAGCCGCCAGAGGGTCATCAAAGTCGGAGTATTGCCACTAGAGCACCTGTGAGTACCCTTCCACAACCTAACAGTATCGCAGCTCCCTGCTCCGAATGCTCTAACTTTCTTTCTGAGCCATAGCATGCAATCTGCTTTCGTCATTGTTCTAAGAAGCGCTCCACCAGAGCCCGCACTGGCTTCAAGTTCTGCTCTCCTCCTTCTCTTTGCAGAGCTGCGATTGCTTCGGGTGCCTGAACGACAAAATTGTTCCAATCTCCCAGAACGTCTTGAGTACGGCGATTCAAACATGACTGAATGGTTAGAGACACACGACTGTTAGGACGACATGATGCACAGCTATGACTCCCTGGCTCAAGTAACACTTCTCCCATAGTCAATTTTAGCAGTGGCCAAGGATCCACAATGTCTTTGTCTGGATCTGACCAACCGGAGCCGTGAAGAGCATAAAAGGTGATCCTGCAAGAGAGTTGAAATTTGTCAAACGAGAACTCTATTGCTCTGCGTAGTTGAATCTCATTATGTGCAAGGGTAGTGGTGGCTGGCAGTCCCATTTCTGCGCGTTTGGCGGCAACTAATTTGTCGAGAAACTTGAACAATTCCACAGCCATCAGCGTACCATGTCGCACGGCAAGTATGCAGTCTACTGGTATGTCGTTGAGTACCATGGCGTAGTGATGTGACCTGTCTTTCAACCTTTGACCGTAGCCGCGGTGGTCTTCCAGTGGTACTGACGGAAAGTACATAACGTGGAGCGCAACACGAAGGTTCTGCTTCCAGCCGCGTGCACCTAGCGCTGGTCCCAGGTCGCCCTCCTTCAGCATATCACTCCTTATTTTCTCCACAATGTGGACGAATTCATCAACCTTCTGGCTTCTGCTACACAAGTTGTCTAGTCTCCCCAAACAATAGATGGGTCCGTTCTTGTCAAAGGGTATCGTTGGTTGACTCGATGCCCAAAGAGCCAGGGGGAATTGGACTCCAGCTATTTCCTCGAGCAATTTGCGACCACGATCGCTCATGAGAGTGCTGATCCGTCGATTAGTGAGGAGAAGAGCCTGAAAGCTTTCATAAGAGAAATGTACTCTGACGATGATGGCGAGAACAATCTCATTCGGAAGTGAATCGAACATGACAGATGACATTTTTGATTCGGCCGTGAGGGAGATGATGCAAGCTCAGAGGAGGTCACGAGTTTCAAGTCAGGGCGAAAAGGAGTATCAATTTCTGTGCTGACGTTGATGAAATAGTGTTGTAGGCAGAACGAAGAAGAGAGGATGAGGTTTTATAACTCATTCGAGATCGGCTCGCTTACTACGTCTGTTATTACCTGCAGAGGACTCTCTAACATCCAAGACTAATGAAATGACCTGTTAATCAGTGAATGATGACTGTGACTGGTGCTTCGCTGGAGATCAGACTTGGTTGATGTGCAGCCACGACCGACCTCTAAGCAGCGTACGAAATCGTAGGTTCGACCAGGGCACCACCAAAGTATCATGTCCAACCAGCCCATGTCCCTCAGCGATCGGTCCACTCTCTGGCCAATGGATTCCACATACTGCCATCGTGAAATTTTTCGGCATAAAGCTCATAACTCTCCCCTCGTTCGTTCCCCAACCACTTCTTCTACCCTTCAAACCCAACTAGAAAGCCCTCAATGAGCGCTCGAACCTCTTCCGTGCTACGTACTTCTTGACTTCGAAGCCCTGCAATCACCCGAGGATTTTCTTCTACGAAGCGATTCCAGTTCCCTAGAATGTCCTGACGAATCCTTCGTGTCACAAGATCAGTGAGGTAAATAAATATGTGCTGCCTAATAGACATTTTGTCTTGAAGCTGCCTAATATCGTCGTGAATGCCTTGCCAATCCAGACTGGTGGGCGGCATCCCTATTTTCTGTCTTTGTGATGTCTCTATTTCGACGGATCTAGCACAAAGGAGAAGCGCGTAAACCGGGTGTTGCTCGAACCCAAGTATCCATGGCAGGATGAAGGGTGAATTCTGAGACATTGTATCTCCGAGTAGCCGGCTTCCAAGCTTCCAATCCCATGCTTGAATGGAGTCCAGGCCAATGAACGCAGTATGGCGCAATGCAAGACACAGGGCTGGAGGCAAAGAGAGCACCCACGCCTCGTAGTGTGAGATGCCTCTGGAGGTATGAGAGTTGAGAGTCGGTAGATCGTGCACGTCTATCTCACTTAAAATTTCTTGCATTCTGTAGGATATGTGAAGACCCAACAAGACGTTTTCTTCCCAGCTAGGCAATGCAAAGTGCTTTCTGAAGTGTCGAGCTTCCTGCTCCATGCGTTGCTCGATCCTCTGGAAGATGCGTAGCACGTTCTCATAGCTCTGAGATCTTATGGCTATTTTCTCTAGCGTCTGCAAGGACAGGCTAATGTAACTCTTGATACTGAACGCCGGCGGATCACGCTCCGTGATCAAAGCTAGAGGAAACTGGACAGCAGCGATATCGTATAGCAATCGGCCTCCTCGACTAATGATCAATTCGTGGAAGCGGTGACTGATCACAGTGAGAGCAACGAAACTGGCCTTCGAGAAGTCAACTTGCTGAATGATCATGAGAAGAACTTCGTTGGATAAGGCCTCTAGTGAAGAGGAAGACATGTTGTGAGGATGTAAAGACCTGAGAGCTTTCCAGGATAGAAGAATAAAGCTAACGAAGCTAATGAAGGTGTATCTATCCAAAAAAAATTCTGGGGATGTAAGATGTTGAAGTAAAAGTGTGTTGAAGAAGTTGTTAGTCTGCCTTCGGACTGAGTCTAAGTCAGAGTTACAAGTCAGGTGCGAACTAATTAACTTACATCTGAGAAATGGCGTACACCTTCATAACTTTCCGTCAATTGTTGGGCGTCCACGAAAAGGTGCAGTAGCTCGTCGTTGGTGTGAGCTCTCCCAGGTGATATGATCTGTTCTGTTTCTTATGCTTGATCTGGGATATATCCTCGAGCCCATAAAAAGGCACCATACCCCCCACGTCAAAACATCCTCAAGGCCCGGAATCCTGTATTATGTCTGGTATATCTGATCCAGGCCGTGACAAACTGTTCCGAAAATGAAGGAGAATTCCAAGTATTGTACTGGTGCAGCATGGTCTGGTATCGTTCTGGTCCTTTTATGGCAGTCTCCTAAGGATATGAAGGGAGACAGAGCGGTTCAGATGCCCACTCCGCCACTTCTACCTGCCTGCGCATACTCAGATCATCTAACAAAGACCAATCGTAATTCGAAGCACGGCTGAACAATTCATCTTATGGCAATTTCCAGCCACTGGTGAAATACCGCGAACCAATCTTCGCAATGAGAAAGAAGAAATGGCACTGCTTTGCAATCTATACAGTCTAACAGTACAGCACTTCACAGCGCAGAGAGTTTTCATACTCTCCAGCAAGAGAATTATATCATTTCGCTCATAGTCTTGTGAGCTTCCTCAGTCGAGGTGACGTTGGTTGGAGCTGGAGTCCAGGGTATGCATGAAAAAGGGGTCTCCAAGCCTTGGCAAATATTAGGGGGGCCTAGACTACTACTTACCAGGAGAAGGGCTAGCTAAAGATATGAGCTAAGTGCCGTGAGTATAAATGACAGTCATTCTGTCAAATGACCACCATATTAATATGATTGATTGATTGATTGAATCTTACACCTATCGAGCTATAGAGCTCATGAGGGAATCTATATAAAGCTTGAGATGAGGAAACCCTCTGGGGAAGAAAACCTCGTCTCCCTCTGTGTTGCACTATGAGGGTTTTTATCCTGTGTACCGAGTAGTCGTATCCTGCTAACAGAGTGTTGCGAGTCGTTGCGAACCGAGCAGCTTCCGTACGTTGCGATATGAGTGGTACAGTAGTCAACTCAATATGGCTCTTGTCTAGTCCTTACTAGAATATCAGAGGTACTGATCGGTACATGTGTCCAGCCCTATAACGCGTTGTACTTCCGCGCTCACAATCGCAGCTCCTCGCAACCCTCTATAGTTCTCAGTGCTTGTCCGTATATCTCGAGTGCCGCGATAGAATATAAACTTCTGCAAGAAGTTCTCAGAGTCTCTGGCCATCCTGGCCGTATGTAAGCAAAGGGCTCTGAGTCACTAGTCCATAGAGCTTATTATATAGGGTGACTCTTCGTAAGGACTTGTAGCTCATCGTTCGCTCGAAATCCAGGCCGCAAATCCGAATTAAGGCTCAAGACTATTACACAAAGTCTTGACTCCTTTGCTTGTATATCCCCTAAATGCCTTAGATCTTCTGTGTCTCTTTACGCTTCTTTTCACATCCTCTCGTTTCGTTTGATTTGTGTTATTAAGGTCAATTCAAATAAAGATTTATTGTGAATATATAATTTATTATAACTTAATCTTTTTAGTCCTATAGCTAAATAAATGCCCTCGGTGAGCTTGCACTGAGCAGCTGTCAGTCATTCAGACAGCTGGGATATGGATTTCTACCTTCTCGCGGTATCCGGTGTGAGTAGTCGCTGCGGCGATGAAACCAAACGAAATCCAGATGGCGGTGTGGGTGAACGCGTGCGCTGCGTACGCGAGTCGCCTGCGCGCATCGAACCAGGGGAATTGGCTTACGAAAACCATCCGACTCTTAAGTATCTGACTCGTACTCAGACCCGAAACTGACTCTACCATCAGTGGATGTGATATCGTTCTATTTGAGAGACAGGACACCCCTGTGCTTGTCCCCTCCTGAGATCACGCGTCGCGCGTGTAGATACGGCGACTCACTGGCGAGGAGAGGGAAATCCTTCGATACAGACGAATAAACAAGCGTTTATCAACCCTTGTTAAGGCCTATAGTCTTCGGTACAAACGAACTTGTTAAGACCTATAGGCCTCGTTAAGACTGGAAGCCACAGGCTACTCTTAGGAATCACAGGCGAATCGTCTTACACAAACGACTATACAGAATCACAGGCAGTTAAGGATACTAGTTTACTCGGAATGAGCTTGTACAAACTCGTTAAAGCGTGGCTACGGGCGCATTGTACGGGGGCATCTGTTAAGACGACGGGGACACAAGCTTG